AGCGTTCTTTCTATTGCCAAGTTGGGGAGAGAATTGGGAAGATAGGGGTCAGGGAGCATCTCAGCAAACATTTGATCACTTACTGTGTGAGGCCTGGGAACAGGGTAGAGTCCAGGATAGGCCCACCCTCACGGCGTTCACCCATGGAAAGGATGGACCAAGGCAAATGGGTAGCAGGAAGTGTTCAAGGCAGAGGAAAGAGCGTGGCCCTGAGGCTGGAATGATTTGCCAGGGCAAGGCTAGGGATGGCAGGTGGGTCTCTGGGGCAGTTTGATCCCACACCTGTTTCATCATGGAATGCAGAGCCACAGTGGGGAAGTTGAATTTACGCAGCATCATGCACAGGATCTGGCAGGTCCTGGTGGGAAGGACACACTGTCAACCTCTCGTCCAGGGCCAGGGTCTTGGGAAGGCACTCCCATCCCAGCACACCCCAAGATCAAAAGTAGGTGGCCCTGCACCACCGGTAAAGGAGAAGCAGGGGTGTGCAGTACCCTGCCTGCTGACCCCTTCCCTGGCTAGGCCAATGACAGTCAGACCTACATCCAGATTTTCTTCTTCTGGAAGCCAATAAATTTTTGGAGGGCAGGGACCAGTTAGGGGGTCTCCTCCAGGGGATGTAGGCTGCATATCTACTCTGACTCATGCTACTGCTTCCTAATAATCTCCTCTAAGACCTTCAAAGGATTTTGAAGGCCCCTGGGACTATAAAGAGGACAGACCTGGGTCTTGGAGCTGATGTGCCAGGGCCTAGCAACACACTGAGACACAGTGAAAAGGCCTTCCCAGCTATTGCTGGGGAATTCTGGGTACAGCCAGAGGCCCCTGGACCTTCTGGGTAAGAGTGGGCCTGAGGAACCCCAAATCCTGGCTCTGCCTTCAGGAGGGGTAACCTCAGCAAACTGCTTGACCTCCCAGAGCTTCCTTGAATGAATCCTCTAGAACCTTTGGTCTGAGCAGAGGCCCTGGAGTGCAAAGACTGGCTGTGTGTCTCGGTACCTTGGGCCTTCATAAAGGGTTATCGGGGCAGGGGGTGGGGGGATCTGAGGGAAGAGAGAGGCAGGCCCATGCTCACTTGCACGTGTTGGTAAAGATGATGATGGACCAGTCCTCGTGCTCATCCTGGAAGTTCTGAATCAGGTGGACCAGATAGGCGTCCTTGACCTTCTCAGGCACCAACAGGTAGCGCTGGTCCAGCTGCTCCACTGTACGCACCCTGGGGATGTGCAGGGCTCAGAGTCCCCCCCCCCCCCCCCCCCCACTGAATGGAGCCAATGCCCCACACTGGCCACAGGCCTTAACTTCTTTTGGGTGTATCTCCCCGTCCCCTCACCCACACCACCCACCTGCCCCTGCCCTGCCCCTTTGGACCAGGCTGTGGACTCACGGGGCCTGAGCCTCCCAAAAGAAGGGCTGGTTGGTGGCCAGTCCCTGAAGCTCTTTGAGTGTGTCAGTCAGTGTGGCACTGAAGAGCAGTGTCTGCCTACGAGTGGGCACAGCTGCCAGGATGGCCTCCAGGTCCACGGTGAAATCCGTGCAGCCCTGCTCCAGCAGTCGGTCAGCCTCATCCATCACCTGCAGCACCAGGGGTAGGGGGTAGGAGGTCTGGGGTGAGAGCCCTGTCCAGGACCTGAGCACATGCCCAGCCCAGCCTAGCTCAGCCAGTCTCCCTCACACACCTCCTGCCCAGCCTTGGACACGTGCCCTGGAGCCTTCTCCCTCTAGGTCTCTGACATCTGCTCCTCAGAGAGGCCCTGCCCCCAACCTCCATTGATCTCTCAGCTGTCCTATCACTTTTCCTAATGCTCTCCTGGATGGCCTGTGGGACACGAGTCCTGAATGGATCAATCAATTGGCGCCCCAGGCCGACTCACCAGGAAACGGATCTTCTTTATGCTAAAAGTGTTGGAGCTCCGGAGGTGGTCAGCCAGGCGCCCTGGTGTGGCAATGACCACGTGTGGTTTCCGGGAGAGCTCCAGGGCCTGGGCCACCATATCTGTAGGTGGAGTGTGAGAGGTGGGTCTGGGTGGGTGGCCTGAGGCCACGGGGGAGCCCTACCCAGAGCCTCCCCGGGCCCCCTGTACCCATGCCGCCGACAATGATGCAGTCTTTCAGGCCCAAAGGCTTCCCCAGGACCCGGAACTGCTCTGCAATCTGGTAGGCCAGCTCCCTGTGGGTGTGAAGGGGCCAGGCTGGGTTAGATAGAGGTTCTGTGCCTGCCTCTCAATCCCATGCCCATCCCTCAGACCTCCCGACTGGCCCTCTCCTGCTTATACACACACCACAACTTCCAGTTCCCTCTGGATAAGGGCTCGGTCGGATACTGAGCACCGGAGCCCTGTTTTGGCCCCTGCCCCCTTACAAGGCTGGGATCCAGACATCCCACAGCCCCTCGCCCACGAGACCCACCCAAACTGGCCTCTCCTCCTCAGTAGTGACCTCAACACCATAGTCACCAAAGTCCAAGATCTAAGCCCACAGTCACCAAAGCTCAAGATCTAAGCCCTCTCCCTTGGGGCTGGTCAGTGTCCAAGCCCTGTCTTCCCTACCCTTCAGCCCCAGCTCTGCCCAGGCCTCTCCATGGCCCATGTGTCCACTTCTTGTCCTCTTGTTTTGCCCTCTCCTGCTCACGTGCCCCCAGAATTGATCTAACTCTCTTCCTGGCATTCTAGGCTTTTCTCAAGTTGACTCTAACCTGCCTGGCCCCAAGTACCCTTTCTGTGCCTTGCCTCTCTCTCACACCTCTGCTCGAATGCACTAGCAGTTCCCTCTGCCTAGAATATCTTTCCCCAAATTTGTCCCTTTGAGAGATCCTTGTCATTCTTTAAGGAACCCCTTGAATGAAATATTCCCCAACTCCCTCCTCCCCAGGCCACACCCTCACAGCATACAGTGCCTACCTCTCCTCCTGCTGCTATAGGACTTACCATGTCAACTGCCATATTTGTCTGCCCAAGAACAGGAGATGTGTCTCTGTCTTGTGCTACAAAACTCTTGATAGCTCCTGCCTAGCTGGAACTTGCCCTGAGACAGGCCTTGTGCTCAGCACTTCTCACACACTATCCTGGTTAATTTTCTACCTCCCTTAAGAGGCCAGAATGATTTTTGTCCCCATTTTAAACAGAGGGAAAGTGAGCTCAGAGAGGTAAAGGTGCTTGCCTAAGAAAACAGAGATGGTTAACTCACCCGGAAAGCCTGTGGGGAGCTCACCTGGTGGGTGTCAGGACAAGGCAGAAGATGCCATAGGGATCCTCAGACAGCTTCTGCAAGATGGGCAGGACAAATGCTGCTGTCTTGCCACTGCCTGTCTTGGCACAGCCCAAGCAGTCCCGACCTGGGCAGAGGGCAAAGGAGCATCAACACACTTCAAGTATACACAAGTGTTCTACTGAGCACAGTTTATAATAGCTAATGTTTAATGAGCAGTTCCTATGTATCCAATACTAGCCTGTGTCATTTACATCTGGGCACACTGACAAATTCTAGGAGTGTATGATCATTACTGTCTACACCCAAGAGAAAGGGAAACTGAGTCTCAGAGATGTGCCCGGGACACACAGCCAGTGAGCAGCAGGCTGGAGTGGAACCCACATCCATCTGACCCGAGATGTTACTACTCACTATCTCATTTTGAAGCCCTTACAGCACATCCCAGTGTGGGGAAACCTGAATGCCCCCCCCAATCTGCATCCTAGGATCCCTACTGATTTCTTCATCTTCATTTATTCAACCCTCAACCTGTTATTTCCTAGGTTTCCTAAGGGCATCTCTGCCTATCTTTTTTTTTTTTTTTTAATAGAGAGAGAGAGAGAGAGAGTGTGGGGAAGGGGTGGAGCAAAGGGAGAGGGAGAGAGAGAATTCCAAACAGGCTCTACACCCAGCACGCAGCCCAATGCGGGGCTTGAGCTCAACCCTGAGATCATGATCTGAGTGGAAATCAAGAGTCCGCAAGCTCTACGGACTAAGCCACCCAGGCGTCCCCAAGAGCATCTTTTTTTTTTTTAAGATTTATTTATTTATTTATGATAGACATAGAGAGAGAGAGAGAGGCAGAGACACAGGAGGAGGGAGAAGCAGGAGCCATGCCGGGAGCCCGACGTGGGACTCGATCCCAGGACTCCAGGACCGCGCCCTGGGCCAAAGGCAGGCGCTAAACCGCTGAGCCACCCAGGGATCCCAAGAGCATCTTTTTAATGGCAAACCGGGTTGGGCCATTAGAGTAGAGAGTAGAGTCCTCTACTCTCGGGACCAGAGTCCTGCATTTACCAGTAATCCTGACAACTGCAGTTTCCATTTGTAAAATTCAGATAGTAGTGCTGTGCTCTGAGACCACGAGTTTCTCGGATTACATCACTTATGTGCGGACACACAGGGAGTCAGCTGTGAATCCCAAACGCCAACACTGCCCAGTCTACCTTTGGGACCCAGGCTCGTCCATAACGCCCAAGCGTACCCCTCGCCTCGCAGAAGTGGCTTAGGCAAAGGCTAAGGCGCGAAGGCAAGGGAGCCGACAGAGTGCGGAGGCTTCCTGGGGAAGAGGCCGGGCCACACTTACCCTCCAGGATGGCGGGGATGCAGCCGAGCTGTACAGGCGTGGGCTGCTTCAAACCCAGCTGCCGACATTGTTCCACAAGCCACGATGACAGCCCAAGCTCGGCGAAACCGGCCATCCTCCCCGCCAGCTCCGGGCGTGCACCGTGTGAGCCCTGCTTTCCGGCGCACGCCGATGACATCACGGAAACCTCGGTTACTGGATCGCCTGCTGCGCGGTCCCACCCCGGTCTAGCTCACACTGCCATTCCCGGGCTCCACCGTGGGCTTACCATGTTTCCCCGATTTCCATTGGCTGGCGCGATCAAATTAAACTACAATTCCCGAGATGCCCAGCGAGTCGCACTTGCGACTCCCCGTCGTGTAACTCCAATTTGGCTCATCTTTAGGCAGGAAGGAGTAAACTACAATTCCCAGCGTGCCTTGCGGCGACGGACTCCCTGGTTCCGGCCGACGTGTCCCTCCGGAAGAGGAGCGACTGGGACCGTAGCGACATGGCACCTCCGGCTCCCGGGCCGGCCTCCGGCGGCTCCGGGGAAGTGGACGAGCTGTTCGACGTGAAGAACGCCTTCTACATTGGCAGCTACCAGCAGTGCATTAACGAGGCGCAGCGAGTGAAGGTGCGGCCGCTCGGGGGCGAGGGGACAGTGGTGGTTCCGAAAGGCGTTTCTTGCTGGTGGCCACTGGTCGTGCTTTGATTTTTAAAACCTTCCTTCTCCTCGAGGTGTTTTTTCCCCAACGTATCTCTTCAGAGCGTTGTAAGGAGTTACCCTTGTCTTATGACAAAACTCAGAGCCGTGACAGTTCTTGTTATTTCTCACTCTAAGAGCTCGTTCTGCGCTGTGGAAGGCGTTTGAGTAACGGAAGCGTTTTACGTCACTATAGTGATAATAATAGTGATTTTCACTTGTGGAAGGCCCACGTGTGCCACCATACATACCCACAATACCCCTGAAGTAGGGACTGTTGTTTGTTCTCATTTTAGGATGCCAGCACCGCCGTTGGAGAGAGAAATGGCTTCTCCGACGTTACCCTGCTCCACTAGCCGGGTTATTTCTCTCCAGACTTGCCTCTTCATTTCATTTCATTTCATTTCATTTCATTTCATTTCATTTCATTTCATTATTTCATTTCATTTTTCATTTCATTTCATTTCATTTCATTCACTCCTCGTTGAGTTTCTCTTTGGGCCAGGCAGTGTATTCGTGCTGGGCTCAAAGCAGTGATAAAACAGACAAAACTACGAACTCTCTTAGAAACTTCAAGCTCAGGGATCCCTGGGTGGTGCAGTGGTTTGGCGCCTGCCTTTGGCCCGGGGCGCGATCCTGGAGACCCGGGATCGAATCCCACGTCAGGCTCCCGGTGCATGGAGCCTGCTTCTCCCTCTGCCTGTGTCTCTGCCTCTCTCTCTCTCTCTCTCTCTCTCTCTCTCTCTGTGACTGTCATAAATAAATAAAAAATTAAAAAAAAAGAAACTTCAAGCTCAAAAAAAAAAAAAAAAAGAAAAGAAAAAGAAACTTCAAGCTCCCAAGGGAGACAGTAAAGCGGTTAATAAGAAGTTGGGGGTAGTGTGATGGATAGTGGTGGGAATGAGTTTGGCCATCTGAGAGTTAGAAATAACCCTGCTAGGCAGGGCCCAGCCAGTGGATGACAAGAGAGGGTGGCAGGTCCTTTAGCAGAAACTTTTAGGGAGGGACGTGGACGTACATTATAGACACTTTGAGAGTGAACTACTGGCGAATCGTTAAGAGCAGTGAACCTGACAGGGTATTGCCTGCCCTGGTTGTTAACCTTCAAAAAAAACCTGTCAGTTATTTTACCAGCAAAATGGGTTTGCTGGGGATTAACGGATAATTGCAATCTGAGACATGTAACCTATGGCAAAACTGTAGGCAAGTCCAGAGAGCAGAGGAGAGGACTGCTGTGTTTCACAGGTGAAAAGGGGAGTTGAGAGGGGTCGTTATGAACAAAAAAATCCATTGAAGTAAACTGAGCTCCGAGTGTTGCGTCTTCTCATTACCTGAGCTGTGACAGTGTCTCCTTGGCTCCTCAATTGCCAGACAAGGAGAACATCTCTCATCTTCCTGTGGGGGTGGTAAAGTATAGGCTTCTTCCTCTGGGGAATGCGTGGTACCTCTCTTTTGTTGGGGTCTGCCACTAACCTGGAGTGTCAGGGCTTGAAAGCTCCCCCTTCTGGTCTCCTGACTCTCTCTTTTTTTTTTTTTTTTTAAAAAAAAAGAGATTTTATTTATTTATTTATTTATGATAGACAGAGAGAGAGAGAGGCAGAGACACAGGCAGAGGGAGAAGCAGGCTTCATGCAAGGAGCCCAACGCGGGACTCGATCCAGGATCTCCAGGATCACGCCCTGGGATGAAGGTGGCGCTAAACCGCTGAGCCGCCCAGGCTGCCCCTGACTCTCTTTTTAACAGGCTGGTGTCCTAAAGAGATTAGACAAGTAGAGAAATGTCTGAATATATCATAACTTGAGTGCTTAAGGGGACAAGGTGAGATAAAAAGTGCTGAGTTGGAGGGGCACCTGGATGGTTAGTCAGAAGAGCATAGGACTCTTGATCATGGTGTTGTGAGTTCGAGTCCCACATTGGGTGTAGAGATGAGTAAAAGTAAATATATCAACTTTAAAAAAAAAGACAACACACATACCACTCTTATTTTTTTTTGTATATTTTTTTATTGGAGTTCGATTTGCCAACATATAGTCTAACAGCCAGTGCTCATCCCGTCAAGTGCCCCCATCAGTACCAGTCACCCAGTCACCCCATTCCCCCACCCACCTCTCCTTCCACTACCCCTTGTTCGTTTCCCAGAGTTAGGAGTCTCTCATGGTCTGTCACCCTCTCTAATATTTCCCACTCTTTTTTTTTTTTTTTTTTACCACTATTAATAAAAAAGAAAAGATGCTGAGTTGGAGAATGGGCAGGGGGCAGGGAGGAGGCTGCTTCCTCTGGGAATGGTCAGGTAAGCCCCAGCCTCTCTATCACTTGAACCCAAGGCTGAACCTTGAGAAGCATCAAACCCCATAAATTGCTGCAAAGGTCCTGAGGCAGAGATGAGCTCCAGGGAGTCAGAGCATAAAAGACCAGTGTAGCAGAAGTGGGGTGAGTGGCTGGGTGTATGTGTGTGTGTGTGTGTGTGTAGGATGGAGAATGAAGTGGGCAGGGCCTCACAGGAGCCACAGTAAGAGTTTGGATTTTATTCCTAAGATGTAGGGGGCCACTGGAGCACCAAGCAAAGGAAGAGCCAACTATTTCACCCGGGCAGCCAGAGGCTTGGGAGGACTTTGTACTCTGAAGTAGAGAAGGCTTACTTGTTCATGCTTCTGGCCTTTGACACTGTACCTGGTTTCCCTGAGCATCATGGGAATAAAGCCTAAAATGGACTTCAGGAGACTGTCACACTCGGAATAGTACTTGTGCAATTGTATTCGTTTTCTGATTCTCTTATGACAAACAACCACAAATGACACCTTGCAGCCACACAAATTTATTATCTCTCACTTTCTGTAGGTCGGAATTCCTACATGGCTTGCACCAGGCTAAAATCAAGGTGTTGGGTAGGCTGTATCTCTTCTGGAAATTCTAAGGAAAAATATGCTTCCAGACTCAAATGGGTTGATAGCTCTGAGCCAGGGGCCAGCCTTGCCTCCTAGAGGCTTCTCTCCAATCCTCAGTCTTGAATGTGGTCTCTCCATGTCAGAACCAGCCACAGGGTGTCAGATTGAATATTCCTCTCTTGGGCTCACTTGGATTTCTCCTGCTGGTGCTTTATTTCTGACTATTCTCAGCTATAAAAACTCTTGCTATTAAGGGCTTCTGTGATTAGGGTGGGTCCTCCCGCATAACTGGGCACACTTAATGTGTCCCCATTTTAGGATCCATAACCTTCATCACATCCTCGAGGCCCCTTTTGTGACAGAATGGAAGCTGTTCACAGATTCCAGGGCCTTGGATGGACATCGCAGGTTGAGTGCCTTATTCAGGTTGCCACCACAGTTGTGTGCCTCCTTCCTGGGTAACATAGACGGTGAGAAGATCAAGACAGACCTGTGCTCAGACTCTGGCTCTGTGATGTTCTCTCTGCAGCCAGGGCTGAGTCATTGTAGTTCTGTGCGCCTGTCTTCCCTCTGGTCCAATGGGAACAGTGGTACCTGTTTCACCAAGGTCACTGTGAGATTTGGCGTCACACTCACACTCTGCCATCTGGCTTCTCTTGCCTGTCTTTTCTGCTTACATCATAGCGATATGTCTTTTGAGTCTTCTCTTGTCATAATGTGCAGACTTCCCGTCACTGCTGAAAGGAAGAACCATCATGACCTGCTGTACTTAGAGAGGGATGAGAAACATTCACGGAAGCCAGACTGGTGGTCCCTGTGAGTGGAGGCACACTGCAGCCTGGCCTCTGAGCTAGGGAACTGCTCCCTCTTTGGTGATGTGGGAAACACACTGGCACGAAATCTGACATTCTTCCTGATGCATCCAGAATGGGCATACTGTCCCCACTGAGCCACTTGATGTGCCTTAATTCTGGTCTTTGTGCTACCTAAACCCTCTTGGGCAGCCTATACTGGGTTGAACGGTGTTTCCTAAAAGATATGTTTACCCAGAACCTGTGAATGTGACTTATTTGGGAAAAGGATCATTGCAGATATAATTCCATAAAGGATCTCTGGATGTGATTAGCTGGGATTTAGGATAGGCCCTAAATCCAATGACTGGTGCTCTTCTAAGAGAAAGGCAAAGAGAGGTTTGAGGCAGATGGAGGAGGAGAAGGAGGCAGAGATTGGGGTGATGGGGCTACAAGCCAAGGAGTTCTTGGAAAACCTGAAAGAGGCCAGGAAGGATCCTTCTATAGAACCTTTGATAGTATGGTCCTACTGACACCTTGATTTTGAACTCCTAACCTCCAGGACTGTGAGAGAATAATTTTCTATTTTTTTTTAAGGTTTTATTTATTAGAGAGAATGCGAGCATGCGAGCAGGGGCAGGAACAGAGGGAGAAGGAGTCTGTTTCTCTTTGAGCAGGGAGCCTGAGCAGGACTTGATCCCGCGATGCTGGGATCATGACCTGAACCAAAGGCAGACACATAACTGAGCAACCCAGGTGCCCCAATTTTCTGTTATTTCTAACCACCCAGTTTATGGCAATTCATTACAGTGGCCCCAGCAATCTCTGACAGGCATGATCTGAGGTGGCCCCAAGTGGAACACCTGGTACATCATTGCTTTTTATCAGATGTAGTGCTCTGTCACTATCATGATGTTTGTTTGTCAGACATTTCTTAAGTATCCACAAGATGGTAGGTACCACCCTAATGCTGGGGATAAAGCAGTGAAGAAAGCCTCAAGAAGCTGAAGGCCCTGCGTGGCCATCCTGACAAGGGCCCCCATCCCATCACTAGACCCACTTCTCCCCCCACAAAGGTACTCACTGTCCTCAGGACTGGCTGCACCTCTGAGCTGCCTAAGGGCAGTCAGAGGCCACTCTGGGATCGGCCATCATTGATGGGTATGAACCTCCTGGCTTTGTTCTCAGGTAATTCTGGTGAGCTATCCCCAAGCAGCAAATAGCTGAGAAGCACTTGTTCAGAAAGATGTCATTCCTGTTTACTTAGATCTGGAGATCTGCCTAGCACTCAGCACACAGCTTCTGCCCGAGGCCTTATGAGCCTTCTTCCGTTCTTGGCTCTGAGGCCCTCCCAGGGCCTCATGGCCTGGCCAGGGCTCAGGGGGCTTTCCCCACAGTCCCAGAGTGACCAGTGTGTGATGTCCCCTCTCCAGGGCTCCCCAGCTCTGCGGTGGCAGGCTTGAGCGGCATGGCCCAGGCTGGACACAGATGTCACTGAGCCAGGGCAGCCCAGCTGAGCTCTCAGAAAGGCCCTCTGAGTGGGCAACCTTTGTCTCTTCTTCCATGTTTAAAAAAGTGTTTTGGAACAAAAACAGGACAGGAACACATTGCATAGAAGTACAAAAAGTAAAGTCCCCTGCGCATGTCTCCTGGGTCCCATCTGTTCTGCAGAATTACCCATCCACCTTTGGATAGGAATGCTCCCAGGCCTGTTTTCTCTACTTTTACAAACCCAAGCACTGGGGTATTTTCCCTCAACAACTCGGACCACCTGTACCATTGAGAAGCTTCTGTTTTGACCCGCTGCACCCTGGGAGCCCCTGTCAGTATGAGTGGCCGCATGTCCAGTGGTGAGAGGTGTGGGCTCTACCCTGCTCCCTTCCCTGGGGAGTGGTAGTAGGGGACAAGGTCAAGGCTGGAACCCAGTCCTGGGAAAGCTGCTTGCTCCTGGTCTCTGCCAAGGACATGTCTGGCCTGTGGCTCCAAGTGTCCTTACGTGCTTCTGTCTCCACAGCCCTCAAGCCCGGAGAGAGACGTGGAAAGGGATGTCTTCCTGTACAGAGCGTACCTTGCACAGGTGAGTGTGGGCCTGTGACCTCCAGTGTTCCTGGGAGGAGAGTAAGGAACAGAGTGCTGGGTGGCGACAGGGGCTGGGACGGCAGACAAAGGAGGTCAGAGTCCAGCAACTTCCCATGGCTGGTGTGGCCTCCACAAGTAGGTGGCCATGTCCCCAAGGTTGTGGACTCACCAGGCCCAAGGACCAGTATGGGGATTTCTCCCTTTTCTTCTATCATCAGTAGATTGTGTTTGTTTAATACAGCTTCGGGTTTGCAGAATAGGATAGAGATAGATAGGAAAGAGAATCCCACCCCCAGTAGATAAGAAAGAGATAGGAAAGAGAATCCCACCCCCCACCCCTAGTCTGCAGGCAGGTTTTCTTCCTACTCACATCTGGGGTTGGTGGGATGCTTTCATTGGTGGATGCACCAGTGTTGGCACTGCTGTTAAGTCAGGGCCATAGTTTATTCCAGGCTCTAGGAACATTACCCTGGGAGTGCAAGCAGTCCAGATGGTGCGGACAGGACTGAGTCGTGCCCTGCCCTGGTTTCCCCCGCCAGGGCCCACTGGCAGCCAGCCTCCCACCTGCCTTCTCCCCCCAGCCTCAGCCTTGGACTGTGGTCTGTCCTGGGCACTTGGCTCCACGGCTGCCCTCATCTCACCTCACCTCAGGCCTTGAGTGGCTTCCTGGTTCTGTTCACATCTTTCTCTCTGTGGAGTGTTCTGGAGCCTGATGGGACCCCACCCTCCCATTGACCAAGCCTCCCCTGCCCCCTGACCTTGAGGGTGAACAGTATGTGGGTGGCCTCTACAGAGGAGCTGCCCTGATGTATGTGGAATCTCCTTGCAATGTATACTTTTTTTTTTTTTTTTTAAAGAACACCTATATATGGCAGTAAAAACATCAGAATCACTCCATTTCCCTCCCAGCAGTTACCACCACCACCAGTTCTGAATGTCAGCAGGGAGGGGGTGAATGTCCTGATTTATAGAAGTGCATTCCCTGCCTGCCTGCCCCCCTGCCCCTGAGCATTCCCCCCAGAGCTGGCAGGCCCCTCACCCTGTCACCTCAGCCCTGGGAACTGGACACTGAGCAGCTGGGGTCTCCATTGTGGCCTGACAGGGACAAGTGACACTGTGCTGGCTCGCAGCAGGTTCTGTAGTAGAACTGGCAGCTGGCAGGCTGAGGGGTCCCTGAGGGTGGTGGGCCTGGTTCCAGGTGCTAGGGCTCTGCCAGGGTGATGCTAGAGCCCTAAAAAGCTCTCATGTATTCTGGGGTCTGAGGTATAAGCCCCACGGGGGAGAGCAGGTCAGTGACAGTGTGCTTGTCTTGACTGCAGAGGAAGTATGGTGTAGTCCTGGATGAGATCAAGCCCTCCTCAGCCCCCGAGCTCCAGGCCGTGCGCATGTTCGCTGAGTACCTGGCCAACGACAGCCAGAGGTGAGGATGGGAGGGCACGGGTGGGCATCTCTCCCCACCTTCTCACCTCCCTGAGCCTCAGTGAAAGCACATTCCATGGGATGCCTGAGTGGTTCAGTGGTTGAGTGTCTGCCTTCCGCTCAGGGCGTGATCCCGAAGTTTGAGGATCGAGTCCTACATCGAGCTTCTTGCATGGAGCCTGCCTCTCCTCTGTCTGCCTATGTCTCTGTCTCTCTCTGTCTCTCATGAATAGGTAAATAAAATCTTAAAAAAAAAAAAAGAAAGAAAGAAAGAACGCACGTTCCTATCCTGCTTGGACATTTATGTAAGCCATTCATTCTGTTGCTGGCCAGGATACTTGCCCAGGTGCTTATGAGCTCTGCCTCTGCCTCTGCAGGTGGAAGCTGTGTGACCCTGCCTTGTCCGTGCATAGGGGACCAGCATGACCTGGCAGACTCCATGGCTCCAGTGCACCTCAGTTCCCCCCACCCCATGAATGGCTGGTTGTGAGGCCCCCTAGGATTGGGAACGTAAAATGTTCCCCGCAGGGTACCTGGGATAGGGCAACAGCCTAGCCCATGACATTGAGACACTGCTCCGTAGATCTTCCCTTGCCCCCCTGCCCAGCCCTGAGACCCCACCACCACCCTGGATCATCCCTCATAGTGGCAAGGAGCCTCACGGAAAGGCCTTCCCCAAGCTCTGCCTAGTGGAACTTCTTAGACCAGGACTTGATTGTGACTTGTTGATACCGTGCTACTCTTGTGGGCCACTGAGGTTGACTTTGGGTCCCAGGTGTGGGTGAGACCACCTGCTGTGATCCCTGCCACTGCTCTTATAGAGCGCAGTGTTCTGTGCCCTGTCTGCTGACTGGGCTCCTTCACCTTTGAAGCTTGAGGCTCAGGGAGATTTACTTGTCAGTGATGACAGCTGAATGGGGACCCCCAGATTCTGACCCCCAGAACCCATGAATGCAATACCATTGGAAATGAGGTCTTTGCAGATGCAATTAGTTGAGGATCTTGAGATTGTCCTGGATATAGGATGGACCCTCATATCCTCATAAGAGACCAAAGAAGAGAAGACAGAGAAGGTACAGAGGGGTGGGCTGTGTGAAGATGGAGGCAGAATTGGGATGAGACAGAAGCCAAGGGGTGCCAAGGACTGTGGGCAGCCAGCTGAAGCCAGGGGAGAGGCTTGAAATGGATTCACCCTCAGGAGCCTCAGAAGGAACTCGCCCTGCCCACACTTGGATATCGAGCTTCTGTCTCCTAGAACTTCTTTTCTGTGAGTCTGTTCCTATTGCTTGCATCTTTCTGGTTTGTGATGCCTTGTGATGGCAGCCCCAGGACACCAAGACAGGCAGCCTCCTGAGGCTATCATTTCTTCCTCTCCACACTTCATGACCCTTATTCTTTCAGAAGAAGACGGGCCCTGGGACCATCTAGGAGCAAGGGCTTAGGAAGGCAGAGTGGTTCGGGGTGCATCTGTCCTGCCAGCACAAACTGCTGCCCCCTAGCCAGCCCAGCAGGCTGGCTATAGAGAAAGTCCCAGGACCTGCAGGTAAACGATGATATGTTACAGTAACGGCATATGACACCAAGGTCACATTAGCAGCAGCATGTAGCATGTCTACTCTCAGTGCCACAAACCAGCCAGGAGACTGTAGGGTGGCCCCAAGCGCTCCTTGACAACTCTGTCACACCGTGTATATGGTCTAGGTGTGCAGAGTGGGAAATAGTCTCAGATTTGAAGTCCTTTGTCCATCAGGCTCTTCGGTGGGCCTGAGGACAGTGACAGTTGTGTCCCCATCCTCCAGGACCTTAAGACACAGATCCTTGGGCAACTTGGGGCCTGGCCTTTGCTTCCCTTCTCCTATCAGCTATTCAGCAGCCTTTTTTTTTTTTTAAGCATTTAAACAATTTTATTTATGTAATGATATTAATCTTTCACACAAGCCTCAAAGTTCCATGAGGTAGGGACTGTTTTCTCTTGCTAACCATGGTATTACTAGGGCCCCAGTACCTTATGTACAGCAGGTAGTGTACACTCAGTACTCTCTTAGTAGGTACAGCCTTTCCCCCAAATCTAGCTCAGTAGATACTACTCTCCAAGGAGACGTGGACGGTTCAGAAACTTTGTGAGCTTGGTGGTGGAGACAGTGGTTGAAGGGCCAGAGGGATGGCAGAGGTAAGGGCTGGTGTAATGGGATCCTGGGGAGATGAAACGATGCTCATTTAACGAGTCTCCTCCCATGATCCCAACCTTCTATTCCCACCCCAAAGGAGTCTGTCTTCAACCACCTATGCATTCATTTCTCCAGAGAAAGAGGTAAACCTCACAGTATAAAACCAAAGCCAGAGTAACTTTGCAGAATTAGAAAGTGTCCAAGGAACCAGTTACAACTCGACTGAATTGGACTTCAACACAGAAATGATCGTGTTCCTCCAAATACTCTTCAGTCTCAGAAGCTCACACTCCTCCAGCAAGTAGAAAGATAAATACACCTTCTTCTGTGGTCAGCTGCTGAGGAAGAACTTTTCTCTTCTGATGGACCAGCACTATTTCTTTTTTGTGGCTCTTTTCCCTTCTCCTTTCCTAGGTTTTCCTTTGCCACGAAGCTTCTTGAGACGCAGCTGCTCATCCTTGAAGTCCTGATGCTCATCTCTATAGAGGCCAAGGAAACGTAGTGTCCCCATGAGTGCAAAATAAGTGTTGTGATTTGGATACCAGTCATAAGTCTCCTTTCTCTTGGCCAAAGGCTGCTCACTAAACAGTTTCACCACTTTCATTGATTTGGAGTCAGTAGGCCTGGCAATTTCACTGAACAGCCGGGCTCTCAGACGAGTCATGTGCAAGGCATATTCTGAAAGGGAAGATATTTCCTGAGCAGCAAGAGGCCCTCCTCGCGACCTTCCTCTCCCACGCGCCCCTCTCCTGGAAGGCCCACCCCCCGGCTTCAGCAGCCTTTTGAAACAAGGGGTCTTGACTCTGTTTAGTTAAGCAGATCTTGGTTCAGGTGTCCTGTGACCCATGGAGAAACTGACTGATCCTTGGTGGAGCCCTGATTTCAGCCTGGCCCCCAGCCCAGCATGTCACCCACCTGCCAGGAGCAGCCGGACTCCTTGGCAAGGCAGCGACGTCACTGGTGTGAGATTCATCTGTGTAGCTTCCTGTCTCCAGAGAGGCGCCCCTGGCGAGTCAGCTTGTACCTCTGTGTCCAGGGTGGTGTGGACACTACGGCCCCCTAGTTCTGAGGGCCAGGAGGTCTTTAAGCTTAGGCAATCATTTGTGCCACTTTATAGACATGGCCCCTCCTGCACCACATCTCCTCATGAGGCCTGAGACCACCCAGCCTCAGTTTCTCTGTGTAAGGGTGAGAAGTGCCACATGGGAAGGTGGTGGGTCTTAACAGAGAGCCTGTTCTGCCTGCAGCTGCTGTGTTCCCCTGGGGGCCCTCTCACCCTCTCCGGACCTGTCTGCTCCCACGAGGGCGAGGCTGGCTTCCCACTCCTGGCTGCAGGCCCTCAACAGCCTCATCTTGCAGGGACTCGATCGTTGTCGAGCTGGACCGGGAGATGAGCAGGAGCGTGGACGTGACGAACACCACCTTCCTGCTGATGGCTGCCTCCATCTACTTCCATGACCAGAACCCAGATGCAGCCCTGCGTACTCTGCACCAGGGGGACAGCCTGGAGTGGTAGGTGTCCTCCCTGTTCCAGGGGGAAGGCCTGGAGGCCTGAGGGGCCCCTCTGGTCTCCAGGCTGCCCATGGCCCCATTGGCCATTGTCATGGGAACAGTGTGGGGCTGCCCAGAGAGACTGGTGGGGCCCAGGCTTCCCATTCAGGCTGCAGCTCCCATTCTCGGGCCAGGAGACACTCCTTTCTGTTCGGCTGGGCTGCTGTTCCCAAGGACACGGCTCCCAGGGATGGAAATCCTCTTTTCCCAGTGGCAGAGTTGAAAGCACCTTTGTTTCTGCCCGTGGTTCTACACCCCCACCCCCACCACAGAGCTCTGTGTCCCTGGGCTCTGGCCTTTCCAAGGTCCTCCCCACGTTCCCCCAGGCCCTCCCTTGAGGCTAGCCCTCATTCCTGGGACTCCAGGGCTGGGGTGCTGGAGCCCCTTGTGGCGCACCGTATGCTCTACCCACCACCTCAGGAAGTGACCCTGGGCCGGCGCTGCATTGAAGGCACTGTGTCCAGGGCTCCAACCCAGAGGGTGTGACAGCCCTGCCCTGTGAACTCTCTGGTGCCTGCTGTCCGTTGGTGGGTGGGTCACCACAGATTCATTATTGTATCTGTTTACATTCCCCCTTCAGTCCAGAAAGGGATTTGTGGCAGCCTAGATATAGGTCTGGCAAACAGTTTACAAGGCAATAGACTGTTTTTTTGTTTTTTTGTTTTTTTTTAAAGATTTATTTATTTATTTATGATAGACTTAGAGAGAGAGGGAGGCAGAGACACAGGCAGAGGGAGAAGCAGGCTCCATGCAGGGAGCCCGACATGGGACTCGATCCCGGGACGCCAGGATCGCGCCCCGGGCCAAAGGCAGGCGCCAAACCACTGAGCCACCCAGGGATCCCCCGGCAGTAGACTGTTTTTCAGATTCCTACACAGGTTGATCTGAATGGGAAAATGTGGTAACTAGTGACTATATATATCATTGGTGGTCACAGCTGTCAGGCAGAGAGGGAAGCCATGGGTGTGGGACCCACCTGTCCCATGAAGCACCCCTGTGACTGGAACCACAGCCGTCTCTGGTGGCTGACCCTTTGCTTGGCTGCTCAGCTTGCTCCCTGGGCTCTTGGTACTGGGTGGTGGCTGGTGTCCCCCTCATACCAGGAGTGGGGTGCAGGTATGGTGCCTAGCCTTGGGGTAGTCAGTGGGATGACTTGAGAACCCATGAAAGCTCCAGCCCCAAGTGCTTAGTGGTGAAATGGGGGAGCCAGGGTCCCGGGAAGCAGTGGGAGGTTTGGCCCAGTGTACAGTGCCTGGGTCTGAGTCCAGTACTGTTCAGCATCGCCCTCTACAAGGCAAGGCCGGCAGCCCCAGCTCTCCTAGGAATGTTCCTGGAGGTGGCACCCACACAGAGTGAGCCCTGATAGGCAGCAGGGTGATGAGGATGCCTGCTGACTGCCTGCTCTGTCCCGCAGCATGGCCATGACTGTGCAGATCCTACTGAAGCTAGACCGCCTGGATCTTGCCAGGTAAGTCTCTCCCATGCATGCCCACCTGTGGCTCCTGAGCTGGGACCCATGTGTCAGGGCTGTCTGAGCAGCAGCCAGGCCTTTGCCCACTAGGGGGCACTCACCCTGGGGACCTTCCCTGAGCCCCTTCCAAGGCCTAGAGCATTAGTGGTACTATCGCTTCTCCGGTCACTTCATTCTAGCCCACTGGGTTGACTCACTGTGGTTTACCTGCCCTTCCCTGCAGGGTGTTGCCTGGGATGAGGAATGGTGCTGTCCATGCCTTAGTTTCCTTCTGTGACTTGGGGGATAGGGCCTGCAGAGTTAGGGTGGGCTTCCCAAGCGTGTGGTGGCAGCGGCTGGGCCGGGTCTGTGAGCTGGCACCCGTGGCTACTTTGTGAGTAGGAATGGGGGGGGGGGCTCCCTTCAACCCTTCTGTGTCCCCAGGAAGGAGCTGAAGAAAATGCAGGACCAGGACGAGGATGCGACCCTCACTCAGCTGGCCACTGCGTGGGTCAATCTGGCTGTGGTGAGCTCCTGGGCTGTGCTGAGGGAAGGAGGGAGCCCCTGCCTCCAGAGCTGGCCGGTCCTATGGGGAGAGTGCCAGTATGGGCTTCTGTGGACACATTGGACCTGCTTCTTCTTTGGGGCCAGGGCACATCCCCCAGGAGCCCCCAGCCTGGTGCGCCCTGGCACATTTCCTACTTTACTCAGAGCCAACCCAATTCCTCCCTCCTCAGAGCCGAGCAGCTTGGCCAGAGCCAGAGTGAATGAGCTGGGGGAGGGCTCTGGAACCATACTTGATGGACTGAGTGGGCCAGCCTGGCAGTACAGCCTCCTCCCAGGGCTGACCCTGGACTTAGCTCCCGCTCAGTTTGTTCCCTGGGCTTTTGGCACTGTGCAGTGGTCAGTGTCCTCCTAACACCTTCCCCTGCACCCAGCCCCTATTTCCCCCCTGCCTGGGCAGCGCCCCCCATCTGGCAGTGGCCCCTTTTCTGGCTTTTGGCACTGGACTTTCTCTCTCTAAGCCTTTTTTTTTTTGGTATGGGCTGCTTAAGATGTGTTCCCTGTCTGCATGTGCCTACACTGCCTTTGGGGGGCTGAGGCCTCACACAAGCTTGTTTCTAGTGTCTAGTTTAGCCGATGAACCCTGCCCACACTTCACCAGCTCTGCATTTTCCCACAAGCTTTCACGTCTTGGTCTCGGGGTCCCCTGTAAGAGTGACATTACTACATCTTTAGGAGGCAGACAGAACCTTTCATTCAGAACCCAGGTGGTCGAGGTCAGGACTGCTGGTGACGGGTGTCCAGGGACTGCCTGCCACGCGCTGGCCATGCCAGGATCACCTCAGCAAAGTGATCTGCTCTGTGAGGGAGCGGGCAGTGGCAGGGCTGGGAAGCAGGGTGACAAACTGGTGATGTTGGAACTGTCCCCGCAGGGTGGCGAGAAGCTGCAGGATGCCTACTACATCTTTCAGGAAATGGCTGACAAATGCTCATCCACCCTGCTGCTGCTCAACGGGCAGGCGGCCTGCCACATGGCCCAGGGCCGATGGGAGGCTGCCGAAGGGGTGCTCCAGGAGGCTCTGGACAAGGTATGGCAGGCCCAGCCTGCACCGCAGCTCCCAGTGGAGGCAGCAGGTGATGCGGGGCTTGGGCTTGCTTCAGAAGGAGACCCCACAGGCCTGATGTGTGATCACATGGGAGTTTATATTAATACCAAACCAGCTAAGAATCAGGATTGCAAATAGAAATGTTGAGTGTAGTTTCTCTTAGAAGTAGGAGGATCCCATCAGCCTGGGCTTCTGTTGGCCTGAGCTGAGCAAAAGTTCTTGCCATCATGTTGGCTGTTGGCCTGGGGGCCTCTTGATGTGATTCCTCACCTGAGTCGGCACTTGGAAGAGATGCCCGCTGTTCATCACCAAGGGGAGAGTGGGCTGCAAATGTGAGGTGTTGCCTGGGCCTGTCCTGGCCTAAAAGAGGGACCTTGAAGTGAGGCCCTGTGGGGAAGCCCCAGCTGTTGTCTTCCCCCGACCAACATGTGAGGTCTTGTGTGTTATTTTTATAATCAGAGGACATGTCAAAGTTTCTTTCCATCTTTGGAAAACATTTCTTGATACAATGAGAAACAGACACCAGTAGGAAGCTTTCTCCCTGTATCTCTGTGAGGGGTCGAGTTACCATCAGAAGGTTGTTTGCAGATCAGGGACGGGCCACGGCCGTTAGTCAGGTGCTCCTCAGGCTGCATACCTGGAGCTGCCTTGCCCTGCCAGGCAGCCACCATGCCTCCTTGACAGGGTCTGACTCAACTGGACTGCTGTATGCCAGCAGGGCTGGTCAGGAAAGCCTGGCCTGGTGGGGCGTCTCTGCCCTAGAAGGAGAGGGCAGTGGGGTCTCCAGTTAAATAACACCCATCTGTCCTTATTCTCTGAGACACCACCTGGGCTGGCTTGCTGCCCTGTGGCCCTGTCCCTGCCTGCCCCCCACCCCCCCGCGGCCTGAGGCATGCCGTGGCCTCATTCATCCTGGTGCCTGCGTGCCACCCCATGCTTTCCACTGTCCTTCCCATTCCTTTTTGTGTTCACCTCGTTTTGCTTCTGTGAGCACATGCCATTGTGCCCTATGACAACAGCTGAGGAGACTAAGGTGGAGAGAAGTTGAGTCTCCCCAGAGAAGGGCAGCCGTGGCATGGAGCTGGGTCTGGGCAGGAGGCTGGGGTCCATACAGCTCCTTGAACTTGCAACACCACGAGTCTCGGTTGCTGTTCTCTGCTCCAGGTGCCCAGTTAGGGCTCCCTGCAGTGCCCCTGCTTCAGAGCCCTGTGTGGGTGGGTAGAGTGAGGTCATCCGCTTGGATGTTCTGGTAATTTCCCAGCAGTTTCTTGTCAAGGCCCCTGGAGAGCAGGAGGGGCAGGCGGGGTCTGCCATGTGGTCTCAGACCTCATTTTTGCAGCAAGAGGGACAGCTTGCCAGTGATGGTATTCAGGCCATCTTGGGTTGGGCTCTGTTACTTTGAGGTTGGTATAATAAATACACCCCTCCCAAATCACAGCAAGCAAGGGGGCTCTTTTGCATCCTGGTCTGCAGATGAGACACCGGGCTTAGAGGGGAAGCCGCTGTTGGGGAAAAGAAAGGTAGTCAGAAGGTGGGTTGGGGTTGGGGCTGGGCTGGGGCCCCCTCGTCACTTAGGTTGAAAGGAGGGCCCTGAGGTCACCACCTCGCAGAATGGCCAGTAGGCACGTTTTGGGTCTTGCAGCCCCCACCTGCTCCACCTCTGAGGGTATGACCTTGTATGGGTCATGTCTTCATCCTGGGTCAGTGGGAGGCATTTTCCCACCTGAGATGGGGATGGGCAGGCCAAGTCGGGGGCCTAGGGGAGCTGACCCTGCTCGCCTGGTGTTCCCTGTGTTTCCAGGACAGTGGCCACCCGGAGACACTGATCAACCTCATCGTCCTGTCACAGCACCTGGGCAAGCCACCCGAGGTAGGGTCCCCTGGTGCAGGGGAAGTGTTCTGGCCCTCAGGGTGCCAGCGTGTGGTGGGCAGGGGTCTGTGATACGGCTCCAGCCCCAGATGAAGCTCAGCATCTTGAGCGGAAACGCATTCCTTTTGGGGGCAGGGGTGGTGGTGGTGGTGAGTGCAGTTCATTGGCGCGAGGGGCCCTGGGAAGTTGGTGTTGCAGGTGATCCTCTAGGGCCCCACCCTGGCCCAGGCTGTAGGCCAGCTGCTCCATGGGCCCTATGAACTATGAGCTGTGTCTCAGAGGGCCAGCTGAGCTGGCATCCCCATCTGTGCCATCTCTTGGTGGAGAGAAAAGGGGCCCAGGGGAGCAATCCCTGTGAGCCCATGTTGTCTAAGGGTGGGGAGGGAGGGAGAACTCTGGGGCACCGCTCTCTGTAGGTGACTGACTGGCCCAGTTGGCCAAGGACCGACCCCAGGACTTTCTGACAGTCGGTCACCCATCCCTTATAGAAGCCCCCCCCCCCCCAGCAGCCTCAGGTCTGGGGCAGAACAGCATAGACAGGACAGCTGTCCCACTCATCCCAGAAATAGCACTGGACCCCTAGTCTCAGGGAGACAGGTGCCCCACCCCCTGAGTCAGAGCTGGGCCTGGGGAGGTGAGGGGAGCTGGGAGCAAAGGCTCTCTTCCTGGGGTCCAGGTTCTAATACTGAGATCTCTGGGGTTTCTCTGTACAGTGTGCCCAGAACAAATTCACCTCCCCTCCCAACCCTCTTCCCCCTGACCTGCCCTCTGCTCCTCCTAGTCCTAGTCCTCTCCTAAGGTCCCTCCCAGCCTAGTCCCCTGAATCTGGTGATGCATCTTCCAACCGTGCACTAGCATGGGCTCTGTGCCAGGTGCCCCCTCTTCCCTCCCCAGCCCTGGGGGTCCTCTGTCATCAGCCTGATTTCACAGTGGGGTGATGGACGTGATGGGAGACCAGGGCCCTTGCTTGGGGTCATCTGGGCAGCCCTCACTTCACCCCTCCTCTCGCTCTGCATGTGCAAGCCGCCTGGGTGCCCCCTATTCAACTAACCTGGCCTCTGGCCTCATTTCCCTTGCAGGTGACAAACCGCTACCTGTCCCAGCTGAAGGACGCACACAGGTCCCACCCCTTTATCAAGGAGTACCAGGCCAAGGTGAGCCTGAGCTGGCGGTCTGTCCTACATCCCCAGACCCCCACTAGGCGGGGCCAGGGAAGGCCTGTGACTGAGGTCTTGACTCACGTTCTCTGTTTCTCTTTCTGCCCCCACTGTCCCCAATCCACATTGCAGGAGAACGACTTTGACCGGCTGGTGCTGCAGTATGCTCCCAGCGCCTGAGGCCGGCTGCAGGCTGGTTCCCAAGCCGGGGAACAGCGAGGCTGGGCATGCTGCCCCCACTGCCAGGCACCCATCCTCTTGTGCTCTTGGTTGCTCTGGCTAGAGGTGAAGGCTCGAGGCTCAGCCTGACCAGGGCCCCTTTTGTCAATAAATATCTCCACCTGATCCATGTCTGCCGCTCTGGGAGGGACATGTGTGAACCACGACTCAGAAGGGAGGGTCCCAGGCACTGTGCCCCAGGGCTTTTCCTGGGAGGGAAGCCTGTGAACAGGAGCTGCACAGACTCCCCACCCCTGAAACAGCTGCCCCATGATGCTGAGCTACGGCGGCACTGCTATGTCTCCCAAGTCCACTTGGCATCCAGAGAAACTGAGATAGTGATAGCCATCATGAGGAGCATCAGGACTCAAAACCAGTATCTTGGGGTGGCAAGGGAGGTAGGAAGTACTCAGGCCTCAGTTGAGTCACATGTGTGCAAGGAACACATGCACCCCCACCCCATCCCATCCGACCATCCCCTGCTCCTCGTTGTTGTGGCTGAGGCACTCAGCTCTCTACCTGGAGAGAGGAACCCATGGTGAGTGCCCTTCCATAACAGAAAGCCAGGGCAGTAGCTGGCATCTGTTGTCTGGAGAGAGGGTGGTACCCAAGCAGTGGGGACTTGTTGGCTGGGCCTCTCAGATGAGGTCACCACTGATCTGTCTCCACCCGAATTACTAGAAGGATATGCCAGGCCAGGTTCTGGGGGGGCAAGCAGTCATTCAAGGCAGCATGGACAGCCCATGCAAAGCGCCTGAGGCTCCGTGAGCAGGACAAGGCTTTGTGGCCTTTGGCCCTAGGTTGTCAGTGTCTGGGCCTCTTCCAGGAAGGAGGTAAGACCTGGGTTGCCAGAGTGTGGCCTCATCTGCCTGAACCTAGGGCTCGGTTGCCAGGACAGGATATAGAGCACAGGATTCTCAGTTGCAGGACCCACCTGTGTCCCCTCCCTGCCTGGTGAGGAGCTCAGCAAGGGGGAGAGGTGACAGAGGCATCTGTCAGGGGTGGGGATCAGGGATCTGGGGATGAGCTCCCCGGGTTCCTCAGGTGGAATGAGGAAGGGGCACGTTTTGACCTTTGCAGCCCCTTGCCAGGTCACTGGCAGCTGGCAGCACCAGGAACCACATTCCACTTCTGCACTGCACCCACCCATTGGTGGCCTCCCAGCTGGCCCCATCAAGATGAAACTCAACACAGCTGGGGCCGGACTGGTGGGCAGGGGTGCCTCTCCCGTTACTGATGGCTGCCATGGCAACCAGATAGTGACAGATAGTGCTGGGTGGGAGGGCGGGGGTGGGGGAGTTGGAAAGTCCAGGGCTGCACCACATGCCCAGCCAGATCTCTGGGGGCATGGCTAGCCAGTTGAGGACCCTCAAGTCCCCCTCTGCCTGCTAGGCAAGCTGCATCAGTCCTGTCTCTGGCTTCTGGTTGAGCCTTAATACTTGACCAGGCCAGGCAGCCAGGCCTCATACCCTGCAACATGCTGGGCCTGTCACTTATTGGCCTGGGTGGCCAGATGGACCCCTGCCCACAGAGTGCAGGTTCAAGAATAATAAGTAGGAGGTACAGTGAGCAGATGACAACAACAGCGAAGAAGACTAATGGGAAAGTCAGGGGTGCACTGAGCAGGTGATATTTGTAGATAAAGTCTGAAGGAAGTGAGCGAGGGTCCCCATTAGCACCTGGGAGAACAGCATTCTAGGCCAAAGGCCCTGAGGCAGGACTGTGCCAGGGTGCTAGAGGAACAGTGAGGTGGCCAGTGTGGCATATGGGGAGCAAGGTGGAGAGGAGAGTATGAGAGTAGGTCGTGAATCAGTGAGGAGTTGGCCTTTACTCTGCATGGGGGGAGCCATAGGGAGCTGTGAGCGAGGAAGAACAGCAAGCAGGCTCCCTCTGGCCTCTGGGATGAGGAGGAAGCCTGGGTACTAGGCAAGAGGCACTAGGGGGACCCAGGGGCCACAGGAGGCTGTATAGGTGCAGGGAAGTGGCTGAATTTGTGAACATTCAGAGGTAGGGCCAACTGAATGTGTTGCTCAACTGGATGAAGGAAGGGAAGGAGGAGAGATGTGTGACTCCTCAGTCTGCCTGCGGGTTTTCCCCCAAGCACCTGAAGGTCAGGTGAGGCCTCCTACAAGTTCCATACTGATTTTCACTCTGCATCTTAAAGGTTTTGGGATGATGCCCTAGGTGGGAGGAAGGAAGAACACAGGATTGTGGGAGTTCCTGGGAGAGGGGCTATCAGTGTCAGGGAAGGCACTGTCCCCAACAGGTGACCACAGGCCTTGATCGTGGCTGTTGGGGGCTTCAGACACAGGGCCTGGTCACCGGACTGTAGAGTATCACCCAGGGTGGTCCCAGTGGAGCCAGCATCTTGATCCAGCCTCTGAGTCCCAGCAGGTGGGTCCCTGCTCAGTCCCTCTGCCTCAGCCCCCCACTCCCCCACCCCGGCAAACCTGTGTTAACCTGGTGCAGAGGAGGCCTGCCAGGTGCTCAGGGTCACGGATAGCAGGTGGCCCTGAGGACAGGGAATGGTGGGGTCCGAGGGTGGAGGGCCGGGGAAAGAGTTACCGGTGCAGGGGAAGGCCTGTTGGTGCTCACCAAGCCCCATGCCGCGGGGGGCTGGGGAAGCCCAGGTGGGCACGGCACTCCCCGGCGCGGACGGTGCAGACGACTGACAGATGCCATTCCCCGCTGCCTCGCGCCTCGATTTCCTCCAGTGGAAAATGGGCAGGAGCGCGGGCCCGTCTCCTGGACGCGTCGCCGGGTCTCGTCCTCCCGCAGTCGCCGCCGCTGCCTCCGGGAGACCCAGCCTCCGCGCGCCCTCAGGGTCTCGGTCGCCGCGACCGGGCCCCGAGTCCCCGCCGCCCGCGCCCCCGCCGGGGCGGAGCTTGCGCCGGTCCCGCCCCCCCGGCCCCAGCTCCCGCCGGCGCGCCCCCGGCCCAGCTGCAGCGCGTGACGCGGGGCGCGCGGCTCCGGAGGCCACCGCGGGCGGGCGCAAGCGGCGGCGGGGACGGCGAGCGGACGGCATGGCGGCGGCGGGGACGGCGGCGGGGCCGGCGGGGCCCGAGCCCATGCCGAGCTACGCGCAGCTGGTGCAGCGGGGCTGGGGCAGCGCGCTGGCGGCGGCGCGGGGCTGCGCGGACTGCGGCTGGGGGCTGGCGCGCCGCGGCCTGGCCGAGCACGCGCACCTGGCGCCGCCCGAGCTGCTGCTGCTGGCGCTCGGCGCGCTCGGCTGGACGGCGCTGCGCTCCGCGGCCACCGCGCGCCTCTTTCGGGTCAGTGCCGCCGGGGTCCGGGACGTGGGGCCGCGGGCTGGGGCGGGGGCCGGGCCGTCAGGAGGGCCCGGGACCCGGAGCCCGGCCCTCGCCTACCCCGTTCTGCCTCCCAGGGCCGGGTCGCTGGAACGTGGGGCCGCGGGCTGGAGGAGCTCGTCCTCTCGGGCGGGGGGCGGGGGGATGCGGGGGTGTGGCCGAGCTAGAGGAAGCCCGGGACGTGGGGTCCTCGCCGCGGATGGGGCGTTCGAGAGGTGGGGGAACCGGGGCCGACTTGGCGGGTCAGGGCGGGACGAGGGGGCCCCGGCCGGTGGGAGGGCCCGGTCCGCCGCGCGCCCTCTCGGGCAGGCCGAGCCGGGACCGGGGGGCGGAGGGCGCGGCGGGGTAGGCTCGGGCCACAGAAGCCGCCTGCGCCTCGCGCCTCAGGGCGATGCGGGGCGCGCTTGGAACCGGAGCGGGGCCCGAGGTCCGTGCGGCTGCGGAGCCGACTTGTCCGCCGCTCCCGGGAAGAGGCGGGAGCTGCCCGGCCCCTGCCTGGCGCATGTCTGCAGTCAGCGCCACCCTCCGACCCGGGGAGGCAACGGCCTGGACTCCCCGGCCACGCCGGTGGTCGCAGGCTTGCTTGGGAGGTGGCACGGCCTGGGCCTTCAGAACGGCCGCCTCCGAATTGCCCAGTTTCTAGCGAGTCTGGGAGGCTACCGCCCCGATTGGAGAGTGACCCTGGGTGTGACATTGGCGCCTGGCCTCCCTCCCATCCTTAGGGAGGGGTCGCTGCTATGGGAGCTGCTGGGAAGGCATCTGGGCCCCTAGCTTGGCCGCGACTCCCCCAGGGACTGACGGGGGTCACTCCGCCCAATCTGGCTGGAGGTGGCAGGGGCTGCAGGGACAGAGAGCCCAGCGTCAACAAAGGGGCCTTTCTCTGCTGGCCGGGAAGAGGCTGGCCCTTGTTAAGTCAAGGGTAGGGTGTTGTTTGGCGGCCGCTGTCCCCACCACCATCTCGTATCACCCACATGGCAAGGAGACGCCGGCCACCGCCCTGCTCCCTGGAGTGGGGAGGCAGGCACGAGGGCCCCTCCACAAGTCCGCCTTGGTCCCCATCAGGCTTTGTTGGTACCCCCGACTCTCCCAGTTTCTGGCTGGGGAATGGGGGGCGGGGTCCAGGAGGCTGAGAGTCCGAGCCTGGGAGGGGGATGTGGTCGCTCTGGGACAACCAGAGTGGAGCGGGCTGCCTCCTGGAGGAGGAGGCCTGGCGATGGGGGAGCCTGGCGGTGGTGGCGGGGGGAACGGTGAAGGTGGGGGGAACGGCAAGATCCTGTGCACCCTCCCTGTTGAAATCCACAGAGCTCTGGCCGGTCGGGGCGGGGTGAGAGCAGTTCGAGGCTCGCCCTTCCCAAGAAACGGGTGGAGGGGCTGCTTTTTCCTCCAAAGCTCATCTTCTTGGCAGCCGCCTGGTTGCCAGGGGTGACTGGAACTGGCTCTGGCTGTCTCCATGGCAACTCCTGGTGCTCCGGCCCCCTCAAGCCTCTCCTCCGCGGAAGGGGGCGGGCTTGACCCAGCAGCTCTTAGCCCCACCCCCAGGGAGATGGAAACGGGGCTCCTGAAATCCAGGGGAGCTGTGCCCCTCAGATCCCTCCCTGACAGTTGCATGACCTCTCTTCCTTCCAGTGTCCCTGATGTGTCCCTAGGTGGCTGGGTTCATGTCCCCTATCATTGTACATCCTTTCCTTGCCCTGCCCCACTCTGTCCTCCATTGTCCCCCCACGTTCTCATGCTCTCTCTCACCTACTCACTCGCTGCTTCCCCACCCTCTCTCTCTAGCCAACCCCCAGTCTCCCTCCGAGGTACCCCTTCCCCGAGGTGCCATGATTCCCCATGGGGATCACTTGGGGTTCCAGCCTCTCCACATTCACCCCGATGCCCCCATACTCACCTCTGTGCTCTCTTCACAGGCTCACCCCTACGGGCCCCTCACATCTTCTCTTTAATCCTGCCTCCTCCATGGTATAGCCCCAGCTCCCTCTGGGACCCCCAAGCCCCCCAACTCCACTGAGCTGGCCCCATTGGTCTCCCTTGCTTGTACTCACGTGCCCCCTCCTCGGCGTCCCGGCTTCCCTTACGTTTCCCTCACGTCCTCCCCCCCATTCCCCTCCCCACACAGCACTGGACAGCTGGGCACTAAGTTTAGCCCTTGGCTCGCACATGTGGGCTCTGGTTACCCTCCAAGCGGCAGTGGGTACCAGGCCCCCCGCCCCCGTCCAACACAGCCCAGCCTGGAGAGCCCCTGAGCCTGGCTTTACCCACCCTAGAGGAGTGGGCCCTGGCCCTTGGCCCCAGTATTGATGGCCACCCACCTTCTCACCCACAGCCCCTGGCCAAACGGTGTCGCCTCCAGCCTAGAGATGCCGCCAAGATGCCTGAGAGCGCCTGGAAGTTTCTTTTCTATCTGGGCGCCTGGAGCTACAGTGCCTACCTGCTATTTGGCACCGACTACCCGTTCTTTCACGACCCACCCTCCGTCTTCTACGGTAGGGGCCCTGCCAGACAGAGCTGGGTGGGGGAGAGTTCTGCTCTCCATGGGGGAGCTGGGCACTCATCACACATCTCATGCTGGATGTCTGCCCTAAGATAGGGCTGCTCCAATGTAGCTCCAGGACAAGGGTGCTCAAAGGGCTCTGAGGACAGGGAAGGGTCCTGTTTAGGACTTGTTGCTATCAGGGCTCAGGGAGGTATTATCCTGATGAGGTGATTTCCAAATTATGGTAAGAGCCCAAATGTCCTTGTGTGGACCCAGGTGGGCATTCCAGGTGTCTGGAACAGCATATGCAAAGGCCCTGGGGCCTTTATGTGCTTGGTGCGTGAGAAGAAGAGGAAGGCAGGAGGAATCTAAGTTTGAGTTTCATTCTAAATGGGATGGGTTTGTGGATACTAAAAAGCTGCTTCTGGCTTCCATGTGCAGGTAGGAGAGACTTGGATAAGGAAGAACCCCAGTGGGGAGGTGAAGGGCTACTGTGTCTTGGGCCAGCTTGGCAAAGAGATAAAGATGGTGAGAAATGGCCGCATCCACTGAGATTGTGCTGGATATGGGGGCCGTCAAGGCCTGAGCCTGGTGGGATAGGCAGGAAGGTGACTGCAGTGTCCTTTATCACCTGCAGGCAGGCTGTTATAGAAAACCTGATCTGTGATGGGAGTGTCAGGATTTCTCTATTCCTGTGCTGAGCACCCAGGCTGTGTACCAGGGACACACACGGAAGTGTTTTCTGCCATGTGACGCAAACAGTTTCAGAAGGTTCCTGGTGGCACCAAGCCCCACGTCCCCATCTGAGGACTGGGCACAGAGCTTCTGTGTTTTGGTGTCCCAGTGACGAGCACTGCGTTTGCCAGGCACCTGTCTGTCTCTGTGGGACCATGTCGCCCACATGGCCCCTCTCCCCACGTGCATTGCCCTTATAAATCCCTAGAGGGCAGGGTTTAGCTGTCATTCAGTTTCCCTTTGCGGGAATGAACCATGATGGATCTCTGTTTAGTTTCAGGTATGGAGTTGCTTCTGGTTTTTTCTTATTATAAGTTATGCTGTGATAACTTGCTTGCAGGTGAGCTGCTGCTTTGCATGTGCACTTACTGGGTACCTACTGTGTACCAGGCACTGCCCTGACATGGCTGAGTGCTTTAGAGAAAGCTCCCCCCACCTCGATCCCTTGTGATGACAATGAAGTCTGGAATCTGTTAACAGCTATGAGAAAACTCTAGGGGGCGGGGAATGTTCTACAGAGATGGACATTCACACCAGAAGTGACTTTTGTGTGTGGACCTGGAGGTGCCTAGAACAGATAGGAAATCCAAAGGCCACTGTGGGACAGGCACACTCAGTGCAGATCAGAGGCAGCGAGGAGCCCCTCCAGGATAGTGGGTATCTACTGGGGCACTGTGAGCAGAGGAGGAATGTTGCCGGGCCCAACTGAGTAGGGGGCTGAGGGCAGGAGCCAGGGCATGAGGGGGGACTCTTCCCAGGAAGGAGCCCAGAACAGGAAAGAAGTGGCTGGTTTGAGAAATGTTTTGAAGGGAGAACTGATAGGATTCATTGCCAAGTCAGAAGCAGGGGCGAGCAGGGACTGTAGGGATGACACTGGGGGCTGGGATCCGGGGCTGGGGAGGAGGAGGTTTCAGGGAGAGCTGGAGCTGGGTTTGGGACACCTGGGCACTGATTCCAGAGGCCAGGGAGTGGGATGCAGTGGGGGTGACATGGAGCGTCCAGAGCAGCAGGTAGGTTATGCATGTGGAGGGCAAGCCAGCGGTCCCTGGGTGCAGTCCAGCCTCCGCGTGCAGGGAGGTGCAGATGGAGTCCGAATGGTGAGCCCTATGTGGGCCACACCGCCCCTGCCCCGCCCCAGATCTGGGGCCTGAGGCTGGAGGGGGACACTTGCCCAATGGTAAAAGACTTGCCAGTGCAATTGGTGGAAAATTCGGTGTCCTGTTTCCACAGCAGGTTCTGTGCATTGAGGCGCCTCTATGTCTCTTCCTTCTAAAGGGGGGGTAGAAGCACCCAGCAGGAGTTGGAGGGGTGGCTCTACTGGCTACAGCATTCCCACCTAGCTGAGGACAGAACTCAGAGGAAGGGCCCTGCCAGAAGTGTGCATTTTGCTGTCAAACTTTGGGGAGCTTTTGGACCTGATAAAGTGGTGGGTGGAGATCTAATCCACTGTGGGGGATGCATTTTTTTTATTATTAATCAGATAAAATATACTTGACATAAAGTTAACCATAATTTACAGTCGCACGTTCTGCATGAGTCCACTTGTGTCAGGTCCTTGGAATAGCCAGATTCATGGAGACAGGAGCCAGGGCTTGGGGTGGCGGTGGAGGGCCATGGGGAGCTGGTGTTTAATGGGCACAGAGTTTCAGCCATACAGCGTGAGAAGAGCTCTGGAGATGGCTGCACAACCATGTGAACATAATAATGCTCCTGAACGTATGGCTGAGATGACAGGGTGTCCGTGGTATGTGTTTTACTATAGTTTTTAAATATTCAGTGTTCTAAAGTGAGTTCAGTGGCATGTAGCACATTCACAGTGACGTGCAACCATCACCTGTGCCTAGTTCCAGAACATCTCCATCCCCCCAGAAGGAGACCCCATCCCCACGAGCAGTGATGCCTTCTCCCCTAACCCCTGGCAGCCACAAATCTGCTTTCTGTCTCTACGGCTTTGCCTGTCTGTTCTGGATGTTTCATGTACTTGGGATCATGCACCGTGTCACCTTTTGTGTCTGGCTTCTTTTGTTCAGCATCTTGTTTTTGAGGTTAATCCATGCGGAAGCGTGAACGAGCACAGCGCTCCTTTTCACGGCTGGGTAATATTCCGTTGTGTGGCTGGATCACATTTTCACCCACACACGAGTTGATGGGCACTTGGGCTGCTTTTGGTGATGGCCAGCAGTGCTGCTGGAGATGTGCGGGTACAAGGAGCCCTGATTTTAGCTCCCTTGAGCACATTACTAGGAGTGGACTTGCTGGGTCATGGGCTCACGTGTTCTTGGCCATTGAGGCCACCGAGGGGAGAGTGGACAGTCGGGAACAGCTCTGGAAGGCCAGGAGGAGCTGGGACAAAACTGAGCGGGAGACAGTGGTGCCAGGACCCGGGTCAGGGTAGCAAGGGCAGGAGAAGTGAGCAGAGGCATGGATGGAGAGGGGCCCCCACATGGGGGTCCACGTGGATCCCTGTTGCATGAGGTATCAAGGCGCAGAAGAAGAATTGTCACTGAGGTGAGGCATTGGGGCTTTTGAGGGGATAGCCAGGCTCCAGGGTACATGGGGGTCTGGCTCCAGGTCTCTGAGGCTGGAGGTGGGAGGCCCTAGATGGAGCCCAGGGAGGCCATTCTGGGGGGCAAGCCGAGAAGGAGTGGCCAGAGAAGTCCAGGTCGATGCAGGCAGAGCCCTCTTGGTGATAGTCCTAAGAGAGGAAGCAGAGGCGACTGGGAGAGTTGGGGGTCTGTGTCGCCTGGAGGGGTTGAAGCCTGAATGTGGGTGGGCACAGGTGCCAAGAGGAACGTGGTGGCTGCAAGAGCAGGCAAAGGGAGCCACACCCCACTTGGTGGGACAACCCATACCCAACGGCATTGGCAGGTTTGATTTCTGCCTCAGCTGCCCCGCCCAGCACAGTGAGGCCAGTGGCAACCTCCATTCGGTGGGGGGACTGGCCGGGATGGGAGAGCCCAGGACGAGGGCATCGAAGCTGCTTCCAGAGAGCCTGAGGAGTAAGACAAGACAAGAAGGGGAGCCAAGCCAGAGTTGGAAGGCCTGCAGGGGACAGATTACAGGGATAGGAGTACTTTTTTCTATAAATCTAGAACCATTCCAAAAAAGCAACACCTATTCATAAAAAATAATGGGTAGAGAATGAGAACAGACAACCGGTGGCCAGTACACCTGCAGAAGTGGGTGGCACACCATGGCTTGTGGAGGATGCATCCCAGCTTGGGGGGTCCTGGAGGCCCTGGCAGTCCCTGATGACACAGTCCTGCTCTCTCCAGACTGGATGCCGGGCATGGCGGTACCACGGGACATCGCAGCCGCCTACCTGCTGCAGGGAAGCTTTTATGGCCACTCCATCTATGCCACGTTGTACATGGACGCCTGGCGCAAGGACTCGGTGGTCATGCTCATCCACCATGTCGTCACCCTGGTCCTCATCGTCTCCTCCTATGCCTTCCGGTGAGTCTCGGAGAGGGCAGGAGGGTATAGGGCACAGCATGAGCAAAGAAGGGACGCTGGCATGGGGCAGAGAGAGGGGGCCATGTGGGTATCCAGGTAGGTAGGTTCTGGGGAGAGATCCCAGAGGGATGGGGTATATCAGGTGCAGAGAACCCCCACCACATTCATACCCCATCCATCCCCCTCTAAGCCCTCCCACCTTGTCACAGCCTTGGCCGAGTCACGTAGCAGGTGTTTACTGCCCGGGTGCTGCGGGAGTGCAGCTAGGAACACCCACTGTGACTTTCTAGAGCCCCCTACAGCCACCACACGTGGCCCCTGAGGGCCTCAGATGCAGCCTGTCCATCCCTCAGTGTGCCATATGTGTAAGATCCAGTCTGATTTCAAAGGCAGTGGAGGGTGAATATGTCTTGCCAATCCTTTTGTTGCATCAACTACATGTTAAGATGACAATAAAGGACTTACTGAGTTGATTAGAATTAGAATATAGCATTAAAATTAGCGGGACATCTTTTTTACCTCTTTTTTTTAAAGTGACTGATAGAAAATCTAAAATATCATACGCAGTTCACAGTCTGCTCCTGCTGGACGGGCTGCCCTGGCTGCACCTCCAGTATAATAGCTGCGGGGCCACTGGTGCCTATTTCAGCTTTAGCTAAACTGAAGTAAAGTTGCATATTTGTTCTTCAGCCACACTGGCCACATTTCAGCTGCTCAGTGGTCACATGTGGCTGCTGGCTGTCATACTGGACAATGCAGGTTTAGAACATTCCTATCATTCTAGAAAGTTCTATAAGATAGCACTGCTCTAGCGTAGAATCAGATGACAAACCCAAACAAACAGACAAGAAAGATACTAATGGTTTGTTTGAAGGTGATAACTATGGGACAAAAATCAAGTGGGAAGATAAGGACTGTAGGGGTGGTGAGGTGTGGGTGGTTGGGTGATAAGAGTGAAGACTGAAAGGTGAAGGAAGCCTCCATGAACACTGGGGAGGTGCATGTTAGGCAATGGAAACAGCATGTGCAAAGGGCCTGTGGCACGTGAACTGTCAGGAGTGCAGAGAGAGGTGTCCAGCCATGTCCAGGCTGAATTCAGGTCCAGTGGCCCAAGCAGCTGTTGAGTGTGAAATGCTGGGGAGGGATGGGGGGATGGCCTTCAGGCTGTAGAGCCTCATGGGGACTCGGCCTTTCCTAGGAGGGTCTGCAGATTGCAGCAATGTTTGGGTTAAACGAACTGAGCTAGGAGGGTCAGCCTGGCAATGCTGTTCAAGGGGATGGATAAACTTGTGGGGGATCTGGATACAAAATGGATACAATCTGGATACCAGGCCACTGAGGGTCAGGGGTCACAGAGACCAGGAGGGGCAGACAAGGAACTTCCAGGGAGGCTCCTGGGTCACCCGGGAAGAGTGAGGCAGGGAAGGGGAGGGTGCAGGTGGGGCTGCCCAGGGGGCCGTACAGCCCCCCCACTCTGCCTGGTGAGGAAATGGGCAGGTCACGTGGGCCCACAGGAAGCTTGGGGTACAGCCTTGGTGCAGGGTAAGGGTCCCCGGTGTAACTCGCCCTCTGTGCTCTCCTGTCCCACTCCTCCCCTGCCCCCACCAGGTATCACAACGTGGGCATCCTCGTGCTCTTCCTGCACGACATTAGCGACGTGCAGCTGGAGTTTACCAAACTCAATGTCTACTTCAAGTCCCGAGGAGGCTCCCACCACCGCCTCCACGCCCTGGCGGCGGACCTGGGCTGCCTCAGCTTCAGCGTCAGCTGGTGAGGGGGCAGGGAGGGAGGTGGAGCTGGGGCGGGGCACACCGAGGGGTGGGGCTTGAGGGGGCGGGGCCTGGGAGGATGGGAGAGCCCCAGGGGGGCAGAGGCAGGGTCGGGCAGGAAGGGACAAGTGGGAGACAGATGGACTGGGGTGGGCAAGCCTGGGGCAGGGGGACAGGGGTGGATGGGGATGTGCAGGACCAGATGGATGAGTCCAGACGAGACTGTCGGGGGGCAGCCTTCCCCCTCCCCCCCACAGTTTCCTCAGCTCCCACTGCCCCCCCCCACAGGTTCTGGTTCCGCCTCTACTGGTTTCCGCTCAAGGTTCTGTACGCCACGTGCCACTGCAGCCTTCGCTCAGTGCCGGACATCCCCTTCTACTTCTTCTTCAATGCACTCCTCCTGTTGCTCACCCTCATGAACCTCTACTGGTTTCTGGTGAGTCGGCAGCCCACAGCTCCTCGCCCCCTCCCCCATCCTCAGCTGGCAGTCCTGTCCTAGTTCCTGTCCTGAGCAGCGGTCCAGGGGCAGGGCCCCCCCCTTCCCAGGCGGGCCCAGGGAGGGGCATGTTCACACCAGGAACAGCACTTGCAAAGGGCTGGTGACAGGAGCGCACAGCCATCGGGAGGGTGGCAGGGTCAGGGAAGTGGCACTTGCTCACCTGTGCCTCCCCGCCTCCCACAGTACATCGTGGCTTTTGCCGCCAAGGTGCTGACGGGCCAGGTGCGTGAACTGAAGGACGTGCGGGAATACGACGCAGCAGAGGCCCAGAGCCCCAAGCCCGGCAAAGCTGAGTGAGTGTGGAGGGGCCACCGCCCCGGTTCATTCCTTTAGCCACGCCTGGCCTGCCGCTAGCACTCTGGGGGCCCTGGAGACGAGGCAGCGGATGACCCGCCCCGGACGCTGCCCCCTGGAGCCTCCATCCCAAAGAGACTGCAATAAAGCCGTGGAAGATTAGCCACAGAGTTAGATGCTGTCAGGCCAGACAGGACGTGGGTAGAGTGGCCTGGGGTGGGGGCAGGCTGGTGAGGGCGGAGAATCGGTCTCCGTGGTAGGAGCAGTGAGGGCCAAGCTAGTAGCTGGTTCGGTGCACCAGCAGCTGTGAGCCAGGCCAGAGGGGAATCCGTAAGCAGGTGGCAGTGGGGGTGGGGAGGAGGGGGAGTGGGCAGCCCACTGGTCAGTTGAGCAGGAGGAGGGGCTGGGGGCTCAGACCCAGTCTGGCCCAGGTGGGAGTCCAGGGAAGGAGGGGAGAGGGCCCAACTGAGCACCGCAGAGGTAGGACACCCGGGACTCGCCAGCCCTAGGTTGTAAGCCAGATGATGTCCAATGCCCCCAGCCTGGAGGGGCCCCAGGAATGAATGGAGGCAGGTTTGGGTGACCAGTGGAATCTAGGGTATCCAGTGCTCCAGAGACAACACGAGGAGTGTTTGAGCAGCAGCAAGGTGGGAGCCCGCTGATGGCTCACGAGGCACCAAGTCAGTAGAACCTATGATTTGGCTTCTGGGGGGCTCATCAGTGACCGGCCTGGGAAAGGTGGTCTCAGGGAAGCTTTGTGCTCAGAGCTTGATGAGGTGGGTCAGAATAGGCCATGAGGAGGAGGAAAGAAGCAGAGATTTTAAATATCTTCTTGGAATATAGAAGAGCAGGGAACTGGGGGTTGCCAGAGTGGAGAGCTGAGGGCTCTGTGGCCAGTTCGCATAAATAAAGGCACTTTATACCCTCCAAGCCTGGAACTACAGGTGGGGGGTGCTAAGACCAAAAGCCAGCACCCAGGCCAGAGGGGGGCCAGAGAGGTGAGCAGGGATCACTGATATGAGAGGGCTGGGCAGCAGGTGGGGTCTCCCCAGCTGGATCATGTGTGGGCATGTTGGCCCAGGTGACTGATCACCACGAGGCCGTCACTGTCATCAGGGCATGAGGGCACAGGGGCCGTAGCCAGGAGGAATGTGGTCAGATCCCAACTCTGCTGTAGAACCAACCAGACTTGTTTTAGGTGAAACAAAAATAAAAGAAAAGACCATCTAAGACTTCTGGCTCAAGCTGCCATTTACCGAGATGGAAATTGGGGCTGAGTTGGGGTAGGGTTGTGCACACTGGCAGAGGGGGGATCAGGCATCTGGTTTGGGGGCTATTAGATTGGCTGATGTCCAGGGAACGTGAGCTGGGAGTTCATGACGACATCAGTGAGGTCTCACCAAGGAAGTCTGACCAACCCTCAGAGGCTTCCAGCACAAGCAACGGCTAAAGCAGTGGGTGGGAGAGGGCAGTGCCTGCTTGGCCAAAACTAAAAATCTGAAAGATCTTCCTGCTGTACACCAGTGCATGCCCCACTCTGCGCGCCTCCCTAGTCTGTCTGCCTGAGAACCTGAGAAGGCCTAGCCAGGATGTTGGTGGGGGGCTGGCACCTGGCCAGCATTTCTGGTAGGATGAAGGCGTGAACTCCAAATGTAAATGACAGGGCCTACACCAGGGAGCACACTGCCATGATCCACCTGCGCGGGCGTCACTGGTGGAACTCAGTTCCCCGCGGTTGGCCAGAGTTAGCGCAGTTGGGTATAAAATGGGATAAAAAAGCAAGGAGAATGTGGATCAAGCTACACAAGAGCGGTCAGGATGCTTCCAAACCATCAGGTCATGGAAGACGAGGCAGCTGAGGAACTGTCCCCGATCAGAGGAGATGAAGAAGACATGGTGACTGAATGCTGTGTGGGCTCATGGGCCAGAAAAAGGATATCCAGTGGAAAAACTGGTGAAGTCATATAAGGTCTACGTTTCATTCAGAGCACTGTCCCAGAACCTTGGTTTCCAGTTGTGACAAATGCACTAGGATTTGCGGAGATGTAAGATGATAACATTCGGGGAGGCCAACCAAGGGCTACACCGCAGCTCCCTGTACTGCCTTTGCAACATCTCTGCAAATTGACAATTACCCTCAAATAAAAGTCTTAATAAAAAAAAAAAAGCGAAAAGCATGAAAGACTCAGAAATGACACGATGTTATGCTGCATTGCGAGTTCTGAGTTCTGTTGTAACAAAGTATCATGAGTTGGGGGCCTTTAAAACCACAGAAATTTGTCTCTCCAGTTCTGGAGACCAGGAATCTCACGTTGTCAGCAGGGCTGTGCTCCCTCCGAAGTCCCTAGCAAATGACACTTCCTTGTCTCTTCTAGCTTCCCTGGGCTCCACACACGTCCCTTAGCCTGTGGCTGTGTCACTCTGGCATCTGTTCTCTGTCTTCACATGGCCTTCTCCTCTCTGGCTCTACTCTCTTACAAGGACATTTGTCTTTGGATTTAGGGCCCACCCTAAATCCAGTCTGATCTCAGCCCAGATTCCTTAGTCACATCTGCAGAGACTTTTTTTTCCTAAAAAAGTCACATTCACAGTTGCAAGAGATTAGGAGGCGGACACACCTCTTTGGGGACCACCCTTCGTCCCGAGGTGGATGTTAAGGTCCAGACAGTTAGATGCTGCTGAAGAGAGAATCAGGAAGTTGAAAGCTACGAAGAAGTGACCCAGATTACAGTGAATGCAGCTGGAAGCGATGATAGCTAGACTTCTAAGAATGACCTGGCTTCACTGAGTTCTGATAGGAGGCAGAGACAACATGAAGATGCAGTGCTCAGAATTTTCCAGATGTAAAGATGTAAATCATAAAGAGGATGAATAAAAAGGCATCCATACCCCAAACACGTAGCAAGAAATGTAAAACAGCCACAAGAATGATGGCCTACGCGACAATGACACTAACAGCAGCGAGGGACACTGGATAACTGTGGAGGGAGCTGTCCTGTGCTGAAAAGAAGGAACCAGCAACTAGGAATTTCATAGACAATTTTGAAAACGTTTACCTGACGGCGCCTGGCTGGCTCAATCGGTAGAGCACATCAACTCTCGATCTTGGGGTCCTGTGTTTGAGCCCCACATTGGGTGTAGAGTTTGTTTTAAAGAAATAAAATCTTTAAAACTAAACAAATGATTAGTCAAGTGACAAGACACCCACAGAAACAAAAACTAGGAAAGTTTACCACCCACAGATCTCGACGGGTATATTTCAAAACACAGGAAAGCTATCCCAAGAGGTAGACCACAGGTGAAATGACACATATCTGGGTAAAAAAACTTAAATGCCTAGTTTGAGATTTTTAAAAAAATGACAAGTGAAGTAGTAAATACTGAAGTGGGATTGGCACTCGGCAGGAGGGTGGGGATTACATTTAGGCTACATCAGGGACCTCTATGACTGCTAGTGGGGTGTAGAGGGGAACCCGGAACAAAGAACAAAATAAATGCATAAAAGGAAGGTTAGTAAAGGCAGGATAAGTAATGCAAAATGAGAGGGTAGGTTCTCAAATATTACACATCCAAATAAGCATTCATGGAATAATCGGTTGCAGATTTGGTTTATTTAACTTATTGTTTTAAAGATTTTATTTATCTATTTAGAGAGAGTGCAGGGGGGAGGGGCAGAGGGAGAGAGGGAATCTCATGCAGACTCCCTGCTGTGTGGACCACCAACCCCCACCCCCGACACACACACACACACACACACACACACACACACGAGGCTGGACCCCAGAACCCTGAGATCATAACCTGAGCCAAAACCAAGAGTCGGTCGCTTAACCAACTGAGCCACCCAGCTGCCCCACAAGATTGTGTTTGTTTTTAAATCCACCTCTCTACTGGTTAAAAGACTTCAAGTCTAGGGTATGTGAAAGTTGCAAATAAAAGGACAAGAAATTCAGATGTAATCCTTGATCTGGAACGTTCCACATGATACAGCCCTAAATCTCAGCTTGACGGAGCATCAAGCAGCTCAGAAGCAGGGTGGACAGATACTCTTTTTAACCACAGGACGTTTCTCAAAATTGGCCGAGCCTGGCCATGGGGGAAATCTCCGGGACTCAGAACCAGGATCCCGCAGGCCGTGTAGACGAAACTTCAGCGAGGTTTGAGGACAGTAAGGAAATGATGACTGAGACCCCTGGGACGTGATTCAGGAGCTGGGAGACAGAGTGTGTGACAAGTAAGCAGCACCCCTCTCTCCCTCCCAGAACAGACCACCCTCAGGGACTGCCCCCTGGAGGGACCCCCAGGACCTGACCCAGCCCCTCAGCCTGACCCAGCCCCTCAGGCTGGAGCCCCCCCTTGTCGCCTCAGGGGCTGCTGGTCCCAGCAGCCATCGAGGGCCCTCACCTCACTCCGCCTGCTGACCTGCCCTGAGTTACCTGCCGCTTATCCCCGGGGATCCCCTTCCCGCAGCCCCCTCATTTAACTCACCCAACTTCCAGCTTTCTCTCCCAGCTCCTGGGGCTCCCCAGCGTGCCGTTCTCCGTCTCCGGGTCTGCCTGATGTTTCTAGCATCTCTGAAAAATGCCTGGAATCAGCCCAAACTACCTCCCTGGAACATTTGCCCATTGCAGTCGATGGAAACTCAGGGTGAAAACCGTGCCAAACTCTAGGGAGCCCCCTCGCTCCCTCTCCTTACGCCTGAGGAAACATCCAGAATCCCCCTGAGATGCCGCCTGTCCTCATCTCCGTCCAGCTCCCACCCTCGTTCTGCTTCTCTTTACCCGTAGCAGTGCAATGGAACTGAGAAGCCACCTCCCCCCACCCCAGATACTAACACGGGTTTTGAGCCCCGCTGGGAGGGGCACTTGGAGGCTTGTACAGAAAAATAAACCAGCATCATTGGGAAAGTTCTGATAAAAGGCTTGTGGCGAGGTATGAATCCTTGAATGTATTAAACCTACTAATGAAAGCATAGGAACGGAAACCTTGGAAGAGAGCCGAGTCCATAAATAGGCTCCAGGCCTAAGGATCACTGGGAGGGACGAGCTGTCAGAGTGCTTGGTAACCAGCTGGAGAAAAAGAGCAAACGTGTGTATCTCGAATCAGCCCGAGGGCAAACTCCCGATGGAGCAGATGTTGAGGCAGAAGCAGAAGCTGCGAAATGAAACCAGAGGCCAAAAGGGAAATGGTGGCATCTAGCAGCTGAACTCTAAGGGTCAGAAGCCAGGAGCCCCACCTCTGCTCCGTCTAGAGAACCGACGGGCGAAAACGGATGGCAAAGGAACCACAGGAGGCCCCCATGGGGCTTATCTGTAACCTCACAGATCAAGAGCCTCTGCCCGTGGGAGAGAAAGGGCCACGGAAGAGGGGGCAGAGGACGGGATGCGCGCTCCCAGGAAGGGACACGCGTGGCTCCAGCCCAAGGAAAGAATGAATTGAAGTGACTGAGGTCATCTCCTGGGAAGTAGGTTCTTCTATGAAAGGGTCTCTGAGCCAGAGTGCTCCGCAAAGTGAGGGGACCCGGGGTGGGAGGGTGGTAACACCCCAAGTGTTAGGATCCGTGTGAGATACCAGCAAGATTTGTGTGAAATTTGACACAGAAGCAAGAAACCCAGGTTGATTTCCAGGAGTGGCTCAGGGAAATGTGAGTTCTCCGTGCTTTCTGAGGTCTAGACCGTGAGAATATAGTACCAGCCCAGGAAATACGTTTGTGCGGAAGCTAGACCATAGAACCCACTCCTGCAAAGGCACCGAAAGACCGATGTGCAAAGGCATGAGGGGCTCCCCGAAGCGGGAACGGGAATAGCCAGGGCCTTGGCCAGTAAGCCGCAGTAAGTAAGTAAGCAGGTGCTGACAAAGGCACCAAGGAGCAGGGGTGGAGCCCTTTGTCGGAGCTGGTGAGGTGGCCCCGGGCACCCCCCCCAGTCAGAACCCGAGCGCCGCCACTGTTGCAGGCAGTGAAAATGGAATTTATGGAGAGTGGTTGTGCACACAGGAGCAAGGCCAGTGTTGACTTTTTGGAACATTTGGGTGCAGAAGACTGTGTGTGTGTGTGTGTGTGTGTGTGTGTGTGTGTGTATTATATATTGATTTTACTTGGGAGAGCGGGAGAGGGAGAAAACAGAGGGAGAAGAGAGAGGGAGAAGCAGACTCCCCATCCCTCCCCCCTGAGCAGGGGACCTGACACCAGACGCTCGATCCCAGGACCCCAACATATGATCTGAGCCCAAGGCAGACGTCTAACCCACTGGACCACCCAGGCACCCCCAGAAGACATCTTTATAGACAGTTTGAAATATGCAAAGCATACGTTATCTAGAAATTAGGGGCCTTTCTCTGGACTTAACCTGGACACTTATTAGAGTCTTAAAACTGCTTAAGTTGTTTTAGGAACATGGAAGGAAAGTCGGGGCTGTGGCGGATGCAGAGCGCAGTGTCCGGAGAATCACAGGGCGACCAGAGCCAGGGGAGGAGCTCTCCCTGGCTGGAGGGTCAGGGAGCGCGGCCCCGTGTGCGCAGCGCCTGGAAGGGAGGAGTATGCAGTGCAGGGTTTATCCAGACCCAAGTAGTGGTGGTGGTGGTGGGGGGGTTAGATCAGGCTTTTGCCCTCCACCGGCCGTGGGTAGCGCAGGAGGGAGGAGAGAGGAGGGTGTAATTGGGAGGGGCAGGGACGCCGAGCCCGCCAGGCGGGAGGCAAAGGTCTGATGGCCGTGGTCGGTCTCCGTCTGGCAGGAAAAAGGGATGTGGAGGGCGATGCAGGCGAGGCAGGGTGGCACGCGGGGCATGGGGCCCGGGGCTAACCTGGGCCCGGTTCTGGCCCCCAGGAAGCCGCTGCGGAACGGCCTGCTGAAAGACAAGCGCTTCTGAGCTCCGTGGTCGCCGGCCCACCCCTCAGCACCCTCCCCGCCCGGCCCCGCCCCCTCGGAACCGACCCCGCCCCTCCCCGGGACTCCGGCTCTGTCCAGCTCCGCCCCGCCTGGGCCCGGCCACTCCCGGTCACCTCCCCCTGGACCCGCACCCCGAGACCCCGCCCCCGGGGTCTACCCCCGTCCGGCTTCTGGACCGCGGCCACGTCCCCTGGGGACCCTGACCCCGCCCAGCCCCAGCCCTCCGTCCTGGCCCCTCGGGGACCTCGGCCCCGCCCCCAGCCTGCAAGTCGAGGGTGCCCCGCGGCCCCTGAGCACTCGTCCGGCCGCCGCCAGCGAGGAAGATGCCCGCGCTGCGCCGCCCTCCTGGCCGCCGCGTCCTCTTCCTCCTCCTGGCCCTGCTGCTGCCCTCACCGCCCCCAGCCCGCGCCCCCGCGCCCCCGGGCCCCGCCGCCGCCCTGCTGCAGGCTCTCGGGCTGCCCGACGTGCACCGGGGCGCCCCCAAGCCCCGGCCCGTACCCCCCGTCATGTGGCGCCTCTTCCGCCACCGGGACCCCCAGGAGGCCAGGGTGGGCCCGCGGCGGACGCCCCAGGGGACCACCCTGAGACCGTGCCACGTGGAGGAGCTGGGGGTCGCCGGAAACATCGTGCGCCACATCCCGGACCGCGGTGAGTGGGGTCTGCGCTGGGGGCGTGTGTCGAGGAGGCGGAGACCCCGCTGTGCGCCCCTCCACGAGTGGGGGAAGCCAGAGCAGCTCCGAACGTCCCACCCGCCCAGTCCGGCCCACGAGCAACCGGAGCCTCCGCACTCCATCCGCTCCTCCCCGTGGGCACCTGCAGGGACCGGTCGGAGTGGCCGAAGGCCAGGCTCCTTGCACCGGGCAAGGCCCCTAGCTTGCAGCTGAAGCCCTGCCCCCACTCTCCCCTCCGTCCCCCGCTGTTTCACGCCATTTGATGCCTTTCCTGCAGATACCACCTCTCCGGCATCACTTCCCCACGGGCCCCAGGCATCCGTTCATCTCTCACCCTGCCCGGGTCCCGCCGCAGGCCGCCGTGCCCTGGCGCTGGGCCTCCTCTTACTTGCAAGCGACGCCCTGCCCCCCACTCATCACTCCCCGCCCCCCGCGCGCCGCTTCACACCATTTGACGCCTTCTAACGGCGCCCGCAGCCCCAGGCGCTCCACCTTTCCCTGGTCCGGTCCGCGATCGAAACCCTTGGCGGTTGGGGCCGGGCGGGGCACGGGGGCGCAGCGCGAGCCCAGCCCTCTCCCTGCCTCCCCAGGTGCGCCCACCCGGCCCCCGGAGCCCGCATGGGCCGCGGGACAGTGCCCTGAATGGACCGTCGTCTTCGATCTGTCGGCCGTGGAAGCCGCCGAGCGCCCGAGCCGGGCCCGCCTGGAGCTGCGCTTTGCGGCGGCGGAGACGGCGGCCGACTGGGAGCTGAGCGTAGCGCGGGCGGCGGAGGGCGAGGGCGGCGGCGCCAGGCCGGTGCTGCTCCGCCAGGCGGTGCCCACCCTGGGAACGCCGGTGCGCGCCGAGCTGCTGGGCGCCGCCTGGGCCCGCAACGCGTCGGCGCCGCGCAGCCTCCGCCTGGCGCTGGCGCTGCGTCCCCGGGCCCCCGCCGCCTGCGCGCGCCTGGCCGAGGCCTCGCTGCTGCTGGTGACCCTTGACCCGAGCCTGTGCCACCCCCTGGCCCGGCCGCGGCGCGAAGCCGAGCCCGCCCTGGGCGGCAGCCCCGGGGGCGCGTGTCGCACGAGGCGGCTCTACGTGAGCTTCCGCGAGGTGGGCTGGCACCGCTGGGTCATTGCGCCACGCGGCTTCCTGGCCAACTACTGCCAGGGCCAGTGCTCGCTGCCCGCCACGCTGTCGGGACCCGGCGGGACGCCCCCGCTCAACCACGCCGTGCTGCGCGCACTCATGCACGCGGCTGCCCCCGGCGCCGCCGGCCTGCCCTGCTGCGTGCCCGCGCGCCTGTCGCCCATCTCAGTGCTCTTCTTTGACAACAGCGACAACGTGGTACTGCGGCACTACGAGGACATGGTGGTGGACGAGTGTGGCTGCCGCTGACGGAGCCAGGCGGGGCCCAAACAATAAACACTGCGTGGTCCGCTCCCCTGTCTCCAGTCTGGTGGCCTGAGGGTGGGGGAGGAGGCAGTGGCATCCACTACGACCTGCTGCCAGGGTGATGGGACGACCCACAGTGACACCACCTACCCTGTGCTCCCAGGGCTGGGTTCCTAGATCCTCATCTCCAGGAAGCGGCATGTCTAACCTGCCCACAGCACCCCCAGGTACTGCCCACCAGGGGCTGCCTGTCCCTGTGCTGGCACAGCTGGCCGTTCTAGCCTGGCCATCCAGGTGCCCCCAAAGCTCCCAACCAGCCAGACCCCAGATCAAGTGCTCTGCCATCTGCAGTTTATCTGCTGCAGTGTGAACACAACAGCTGTTTATTAAGATTTTATTGGTGACAATAGAGCTTAAAACAAATCGACCCAAAATCAAAAGTTACATTAAGCTGGTACAGATGCTCCATTTGGAAAACAGAATAACTGCTGCTATGAAGGTGGAGAACAAAGCGAACAGCACAAAGCAGAGGCAAAGCGTTCCAAGGAACAGAACAGGGCAGGCGGGTGGGCACAGGGTGTGGCCCACGGGGTGTGTCGCACAAGGGGTCATAGCGGAAACCTATCCAAACTCTATGCCTCTATGTGGCCTATCAAAAGAAGGGGGAAACCGAAAGCCCTACAGCAATGGTAATAAATAAGAGGCCTTGCCAGAAGGAAGGTGGCCTGTGTGTCCCCATCTCCCAAGTACAAGCTGGAATCTGGAGGCTTTGATAAGGGCATCAGCCTCACAGGGACGGGGACACTGGGGAAGGGGGTCAGGGTCACCAGGGCCCAGGTAGGCAAGGGATGGTCCCCAAAGAGGTGGTTGCCAGGGAGTCTACCTCACCGTGGTGTGTGCAAGGAGCTGGGGGTGGCTCTCCCAGCTACAGCTCCTTCTTGAGTCGTGGCCCAGACCCAACCAGACAAAAGCCCCCTGTGCTAGCTGATGTGACAAGCCCCTCCCAGCCCCTTCGGCACAGAACCAACTTATTTTTGAAACTTACTCCTTTTCCCAAAAAAAAAGCAGAAATCACCCCACCCCACCTCAGCTGTACCCACAGGTAGAGGGGTTCCCAGCTTGGAGGGTGGGGTAGAGAACAAGGCAGGTGGGGTGCTCAGCATGTCTAAGCAGCCACAGGTACTGTGGGTGCCTCCCTGGGGATGGGTCCTCTCGGCTGCTGTCTTCCACCAAATCCTCAGGAAGGACCCCTGGGGAAGAAGCCACTGGCCGGGGAACAGCCACCTCCCCACCCTCTGGCCTCACAGCCAGTCCTGCCCAAGGCCCGTCCCGGGGTGGGTGGGCACTAGTCCACCGCATGTAGGAAGCACTTTGCTTCTCAGAGTCCAGCGGAGACTGTGGGGCTGCCTGGCCCGGGACGACACGGTGCTCTCTCACCACCCTGACGTGCAGGGAGAAGCCACTGGAAGCTAAAATTGAAAACAAAAATCCTCCTCGTGATCCCGTCACAGGTGTTGATCTTAATCTTGTGATGTGTTGGTTTGTTTAAACTTCGTTTCTGGAAGCTTCTCGCATCTCCCAGGTCCGCCGCTAAGATTTGAGAGACAAACTCAGGAAAGTAGATTTTTCAGTACTCCTTTGAAAGAATCTTTTAAAAAACAAAAAAACCCAAAACACCGTGTTTTCTTTAAATGAAACGCTCTTAGAACACAGGCAGCGTGACCAGGGCAGTTTCAGAGCTGGTGTGGACAGAACCCACACCTCCGCGGGGCTTTCCCAGCACGGCTGCCCCGCAAGGAGCCTGCTCGGCACAGAAATGCGAAGTTTTTCCTGCTAAAACGTAGTCCCCTTTCAATAAAAGAGAAACAGAAAGAAAAGAACAGAGGAAAGGGCTACTCTGAGATGAGGGTCTTCCTCCCTCCGCCCTGGTCGCAGACCCAGGTGTGGACGCGGCGAGCGCTGGGCCTCCTTGGCGAGCGGGGCTGGCAGGGCTCGCTGGCGGGCGGTCCTCCGAGGCCGCCCGCCTCCCGCTCTCCCTTCTCCTTCTCCTCGCCGCCGCGGGCCAGCAGTGGGCGCTCGCTCTGTCTCGGGCTCCTCCCTCGGGTGCTCCTCTCCCTCTCCTGTTGCTCACAGTGGTGCTTCAGTTTTAGCAGTGGAAAACAGGTATCCATTTATTTTTATTTTTTATTACCCAGAATAAGATGCTGATGGACTAAGCCACATAGCTTAGCTCTTCCGCTGCCACCTGTAGGGAGGGAGGGAGGGCAAGGGGCCATCAGAGAAGGCAGAGGCCCACGCAGCACCCACCACCAAGGGTACAGGGCTTCCCCCCCCCACCCCACGGTGCGCCTGGGAAATGGGACCTCAGAGGCTGGCTGGGTGCCCAGACTAGTGCTCCCCAGCTGAAAAGGAAGCCGAGAGTTAAGGGGCTCCTTCTGCCAGTGGCACCAGCACCCCACTTAGCCAGCACACACCATGTGTGGGGAAGGGGACCCAGGCCCATGCTCATCCAACTCTGGCCACACTATGTACAGGGGAACCAGAGGTGAGGGCCTGAACAGCGCCCAGAAGCCCTCTTGCAGAGGTGCCCAGTGTATCTGGGGCCGGGACTCCCACATCCACCCTTCCTCACTGAGCTCTAGGACTCTCAGGCAAGGAGCACCATGCATGAAGCTCACATCCCCCCTGCCACCATGAGCAGATGAACAGGGAGCTGAAATGACTGGCCACAGGAAGAGCTGGCTTCAGGGGACCTGAGACCCCTACTACACATTCCCCAAATTTCCCATCAAGTCCAGGTCCTGGTGAAGACCTCCTGCAGGGGTCAGCTTGCCTTCTAGTACTGGGACAGCCCTGTCACTCCGCCGTGCTGGTATGCCCGTTCCCCTTGGTACGTGGAGTCTTGCGACAGTGCCACATCAATCTGTGACTTAAACTCATCGCCAAGGTAACTGTCCTGAAAAACAAAGTTGGGAGCTAAGATGTGCACATATCGTTCCAGCCTCAAGAACCTGCCCCAGAGAAGATTC